AGTTCAAATACCCAGGGAGCCTTTTGCCGAAACGGCCTGTGAGTGGGATTCTGCTTCCCAATTGCCTCACAAGTTTCAAGGTTCCACCATGGCCCTTGACCTTGGGTAGGACTAGACCAGTGGTCGGCAAACTCATTAGTCAACAGAGCCAAATATCAACAGTACAACGATTGAAATTTCTTTTGAGAGCCAAATTTTTTAAACTTAAACTATATAGGTAGGTACATTGTTATTAACAATTAGGGTACTCCTAAGCTGGCCTTGGCTAAAAACGTCCTCAGTCTGATTGAGGTACGTTCGCTGAGGACCCCTTCCAACTCTCCATCCACACTCGTATACTTGTCTATCTCCTTTCTGAAAACCGACTTCTGCGCATGGGCCACGAAGTTTCAATCACACTGTATGTGCGCGCCCACACGTGGTATTTTGTGGAAGAGCCACATTCAAGGGGGCCAAAAGAAACCACATGTGGCTTGCGAGCTGCCGTTTGCCGACCACTGGACTAGATTGTCTCAGCAGAAGGTCCCATAGCAGCTACTACCAGCTCCTGTCTGAGGACCAGATCACCCCTCCCAACCAGGGGACTGGGGCAAAGGCTAGGCAGGTCACCAGCTGCCAGTTGGGGAGGGCTTAGCCAGAGGTCCTTCCACCAGGGGCTCAGGACCCCCAAAAGGATCTCAGAATATCAACTCCCTGGAAGTCGCCAATGGGGTGGTTCCCATCTGGCGTTCAGCAAGTGATGCAAGAGTGAATCCTTTTGGCCAGGTTTCCTATGCACCACCCCCAGAGGAAGAAGCAGAACCAACTGTGGTAGCCCTGCTGTTGGGTGGGGTGATTTTGCTACGGTATAGCCAGGGGTAGGGAGTGCTCATGACAAAACAAGGGGAGAATTCAGCACACCTGCCTCCTTCCCCCCGCCTCCTTACCCCTTTACTCTAGTACCAAAAGCTGCCTCCTCCATCTCTGCCTGGCAAGTGCGCATGCCCATGAAGTGCCAGGTCATGGTTGCAGGGGGAGGCCTGTCCAATTCCATCTCTCCCAGGAAGGCCCTCAGAGCCAGCTCTTCTTTCCCTGGTGTTGGGGACCAGCCCCAGCAGGTTCAGGGGTTCCCAAAGGTGTGGACTGAGTCGGCAAAGAAGGAACGACACAGAGACAGCCTTCAGTTGATCAGCAGCCTAGTCAGGACCTCTAGCCAGGATCTCCAGCCAAAGTTCTGGTCGGGATCTCCAGCCAAGTTCTGGCTCTAGGTTCTCTTGCCAAGTTCTGTAGTCAGGTTCTGTCCATGTTCTCTCGCTAGGTTCTCCAGTCAGGTTCTCTTGCCATGTTTTCTTGCTAGGTTCTGTCGCTAGGTTCTGTTCCTAGGTTCTGTGTCTAGGTTCTCTGTCCTGTTGTCTTGTTACATCTGTATTTATACCAGTTGATTTTAATCCTGTCAATTTCTATTGCAAAGGTTAGGGCGTTTCTTATCTCCATTCCAGGGAGTAAAGATTATGTAGCTTAAGCGTGATTGTAGTTAAAGTGATTAACTACCCGCCTGGCACTTAGTTAAGAGGTTTTATCCCCTCCCTAACTTCAGGGAAAAATCCCTACCTGGGAAAACAACCTTTCTAGGAGAGGTGACCTTGGTTAAAACACATAGCGCTAAGGGGAGCAAACATATTAAGAACAGTATGCCATATATGCCAGGTCCCTTGAAACATGTTGTGCAGATGTTTCTTCTCTGCAGCGACTGTGTCAAGCAGCAAGGATGGACCGGCTCCCGGCACCCTGGTGTTCACACCCTGGGTTCCTGGTGTTTTGTATTGTGTGGGGTCCTATTGATCTTGACACTGGGAGCCACAGCTCTGTCTTTGTCGCTGCACCAACTCTGACCTGAATGAGCCCAGGGGCCTCCACGGGGAGAGGCAGGCACATGTCCTTCAGATTGGAGTAACGGGGGAGCAATGCCAGGGGGAGGGGTACAATGCGGGCCAGCTGTGGCCAATGATCTGTGGGGCTGGCCCCAGAAGGGGCGGGGCCTGTGCAGATCTGTCAGGCGTGTGACAGATGACTGGATGCTTAACCTTCGCAGGGTGTAGAGGTTCTTCCCATCCACCCTCTGCTGTCCCAACACACATTCACCTGCCTCAGGACAGCCTGCATGGCACTCCAGAAGGCAGGGCCACACCAGTTGGTGCTGGTCTCTAATGGGCTCACCACTCATCAGTCTCCTGGGGAGAGACCCGTGAGGGGAAAGGAGTGTTGTCAGTTTTATTTATCTATCTATCATCTATCTATCTATTTATTTTTATTGATTTCAGAGAGGAATGGAGAGGGAGAGAGAGAGAGATAGAAACATCAATGATGAGATAGAACCATTGATTGGCTGCCTCCTGCACGCCCCCTACTGGGGATCGAACCTGCAACCCTTCAGTCCACAGACCAACACTCTACCCACTAAACCAAACCGGCTAGGGCTGTCTTTTACAAATTAAAGGCAAGACCCTCCACCAGCAAAAAGATTACAACTCACTTCATTGCAGTGTTCTGGAACAGAACCCACAGTATCTCTAAGGTTTGCCTGTACCACACCTTCTCACTGGCCAGTCTTTTTTTATTTTTATATATATGTTTATTTCAGAGAGGAAGGGAGAGGGAGAGAGAAATAGAAACATCAATGATAAGAGAGAATCATTGATTGGCTGCCTCCTGCACGCCGCCCCACTGGGGATCAAGCCCACAACCCAGGCATGTGCCCTTGACTGGAATCAAACCCGGGACTCTTCAGTCTGCAGACCGATGCTCCATCCACCGAGCCACACCGGCTAGGAATATATATATATATATACATTGACTAGAGAGAAATATCAATGAGCTGCCTCCTAGATGCCCCCCACTAGGGATTGAGCCTGAAACCTGGGTATATGCCCTGACCAAGAATTGAACCAGCAACCTTTCGGGGTGCATGGGACAACACTGGACACTCAACCAACTGAAATACAACCGGCGGGGCAAGGGAGGTCAGTCTTATTCTCAAACATCACAAAGGGCATGGGAAGGTCAGTCTTCGGCAGGAACTCATGCAGTGCGGACTCACAGTTGCAAGGGAGGCCCAGTCCAATTCCATCTCTCCCAGGAAGCCTCCCAGGGCCAGCTCTTCTTTCCCTGGTGCTCACTCTGCCAGACTCCTGGTGTCTCATATTGTGTGGGGTCCTACTCATTGTGACATAGCTCTGTCTTCCCTACTCCACCAACTCTGACCTGACTGAGCCCAGAGGCCTCCACGGGGAGAGGAGACATTATGACATCAAAGACCAGCACACATATACCCTGGCAGGTGTAGCTCAGTTGGTTGAGTGTGGTTCCATACACCGAAAGGTCCCTGGTTCAATTCCCAGTCAGGGCACATGTCCTGGTTGGGGGCTCAATCCCCAGTAGGGGGTATGCAGGAGGCAGCCAATAGATGTTTCTCTCTCCCTCTCCCTTCCTCTCTCTCTAAAATCAATAGAAAACATATTTTTAAAAATTAAGACCAGCAACAGCAGTAGGAGCTGCAGTATAGGGCCATGCCCAGGCATTAGGATCTCTCTGTTCCAGCCGCGTTCTGAAGCTGCACTGATGAGGTGAGAGGCCCACTTACACCCCTGGCCTGCAATCCAACCAACCCAGAAGTCCAAGCTCCTCCAAGTCACACTGGGAGCCCAGGGCTCTCAGGCAATCTGGCCCCCGGACTGCCGCCTCCACATAATTCCGCCCTTGGCAGGGAAAGTGGGGGACAGTTGGTCAGCCAGCCTTGCTCAGTCATAGAGCTACGAAGACCACATCTGGGCACTGGCAAACAAGTCTGGAGAACTTGGAGGGCTGGAAGGCAGAGGGGCCCCGGGATGCCCACTCTTTTTTTTTTTTTTTAAATATATTTTATTGATTTTTTACAGAGAGGAAGGGAGAGAGATAGAGAGTTAGAAACATCGATGAGAGAGAAACATCGATCAGCTGCCTCCTGCACATCTCCCACTGGGGATGTGCCCGCAACCCAGGCACATGCCCTTGACCGGAATCGAACCCGGGACCCTTCAGTCCGCAGGCCGACGCTCTATCCACCGAGCCAAACCGGTTTCGGCAGGATGCCCACTCTTACCTGCACAATTGCTGTATGGTTTTTGAGCTGCCTTGTATTGACCTTGACCACTAAAGCGGTTGATGAGGAGCTGGTTCATCCAGAGGAGTTGCCCACCCTGTGGGGTCAGAGGTCAGAGGGGCCTCAGTCCAGGCACTTCCAGCTGTCCCCTCTCTTGCTGTACCTGAGCCCCATACCCTTGCTGAGGCCATCCCCCTTGGTCTCTCTGCCCTGCCTAGCCCCCCACCCAACACACACACTAGGACCCCTTTCAGGATTCAGGGGGAGGTGGTTGAGGAGGGAAAGCCGGCTCGTGTTCCCCAAAACACCCACCACAACCCCAGACCTTCCAGCCAGCTAACCCAGTACAGTATTTCCCACCAAGAGGTTACTGTATTGAGCTGAGGGCTCCAGCAGCGGCAATCGCGAAGTTCAGCCACCAGAGGGTCTCAGCGAGCCCTGAGCGTGAAGGCGGAGCCCGAGCGCGGGGCCGTGGTCTAGCGATGACCAAGCCACGCCCCCACATCGGGCCCCGCCCTCAGGCCCTACAAAACCCCGGAGGAGGGGATGGGTGGGGCAAAGCTGGATCAGCTGAGTGACAGTCACGGGACCGGGACCCGCTCCGTTTGGCTTCTTGGAGGAGAGGTAGGGATGAGGTGGGGGGCGTCTCTGAGTGTGGCAGGCCCGTGGTGGGATCCGTGGCGGGTAGATCCCCGGGGTTGTTGGGATCAGTCCTGGGGCTGGTCCCCGGCCGGAGGACAGCCCTGCACACGGGTGGTGGTGGGGTGGACCCCAAGGGCTGGGTCCCCAAGCCCAGGAGACGGGTCAGACAGCCCACTCAAGCCTGGGGTGTCTTGGGCACAGAAGAGCCCGGTGAGGAGGCTGGATACCAGGAAGATGGGGAGGTCGGGTCTGTCGGGGAGCTGAGCCTCCAAGTCCTAAGTTTCCCCCAGGACATGGAGAAGGAACGAGAGACTCTGCAAGCCTGGAAGGAGCGCGTGGGGCAGGAGCTGGACCGCGTGGTGGCTTTCTGGATGGAGCACTCCCACGACCAGGAGCATGGGTGCGCCTTTTCCTTCTGGTCTCCTCAACATGGTCTTTGCCCCCCCCCACCCCCCCCCGCAGACTCAGATCTGCTGGGCCCAGTGGGCTGTGGGGTGCAGGCCCCTTCTTCCCTTTGCTAACTTTGTGTCCCACAGGGGTTTCTTCACCTGCCTCGGCCGCAACGGGAAGGTGTATGACGACCTCAAGTATGTCTGGCTGCAGGGGAGGCAGGTAAGGATGTGCTGAGGCTTGCAGCTCCCCCAGGGGCATAAGCCAAAGTCAGGCTTACGGTCCACGCATGCATACACACCCACACCACAAGGCCTGTCATCTCAAAACACTATTCCTCTCCGGACAGGGCATCTAGGACTCCCCCTCATCCCAGCCCTGAGGTCCCTGCTGCTCCCCGCTTAAGGCGTGTTCCCTCTGCCCCTCCAGGTGTGGATGTACTGTCGCTTGTACCGCAAATTTGAGCGCTTCCGCCGCCCTGAACTTCTGGATTCAGCTAAAGCAGGTGCCCCCTCCCTGCCCCATCTCCCCAGAAGTTACTCCCAAGTTTACTCAATAGCTCCTGTGTGCATACTTCCTGCGGGTGGAGGGCGGGGAGAACGGGAGGGGGGAGTTTGTGGGTCTAGAAACAGTGATGGAAGGGGAGGCATTGTCCTCACCTGAGTTCTAGCATGTCAACTTCCCAACCACCAGGTGGCGAATTTTTGCTGCGCTACGCCCGAGTGGCACCTCCTGGGAAGAAGTGTGCCTTTGTCCTGACGCGGGATGGCCGCCCGGTCAAGGTGCAGCGAACCATCTTTAGCGAGTGTTTCTACATCATGGCCATGGATGAGCTGTGGAGGGTGACAGGGGAAGCACGTTACCAGGTGTGTGGGAGGAAGGCTGTCCTGAGCGTCTCTGTGCTCTGGCCTGTCCTGGGCATAGCCACGTGCATTCCCACTCTGCGTCCAAGCCCTTCCCCTGGCCCTGTCTGCAGGCCGGATCTGTTCATGGTAATCCTTCTTATGGGCCCCCGGGGCTCCAAGGCTGCTGGCAATACCCTCCTTATTGCACTGTTGTCACTGTGTGCCTAGGGGCGTCCCCCAAAAGTCTTGTTCACTTCTGAACTCCCCTCTCCTGGGCACAAAGGGGCCAATCCTTGCCCAGCTTCCACCTGGAAGGGGGCCTCTCCCTCCTCCTGGGGCCCCTTGTGCTTTCAGACCCAACCTCACTGCCTGGGAGTGGCCTATACCCCCAGACTGGGGGCCTCTGAGTCAGGGTGGGGCAGATCCACCCTGGCCCCCCACACCCAACCTGGGGCCAGGCCCGGAGGGGGCCCTGGGTGGAGAAAGGTGTCCTGTGAGTGGGCGGGCTGGATGGGATGCAGCCTCAGCCTGGGCCTCCCCTCCCCTCCCCCCACCCAGAGCGAAGCTGTGGAGATGATGGATCAGATCGTCCACTGGGTGCGGAAAGACCCATCGGGACTGGGCCGGCCCTGGCTCCCAGGGGCCCCAGCCTCAGAGTCCATGGCGGTGCCCATGATGCTGCTCAACCTGGTGGAGCAGCTCGGGGAGGCAGACAAGGAGATGGCGAGCAAGTACGCGGAGCTGGATGCTTGGTGCGCCCAGAGGATTCTGCAGCATGTCCAGGTGGGGGCGGGAGGCTGATGCCAGCTGCCAGACTGGGGCATCTCCCACTCCGGGCCCTTCCTCCGCACACACCCACCCCGATCTGGGCTCCAATGGTCCCCTTCAAGATAGGGAGGCTTGCCCTAGCCGGTTTGGCTCAATGGATAGAGCAGTGATGGCGAACCTTTTGAGCTCGGCGTGTCAGCATTTTGAAAAACCCTAACTTAACTCTGGTGCCGTGTCACATATAGAAATTTTTTGATCTTTGCAACCATAGTAAAACAAAGACTTATCTTTTTGATATTTATTTTATATATTTAAATGCCATTTAACAAAGAAAAATCAACCAAAAAAATGAGTTCACGTGTCATCTCTGACATGCGTGTCATAGGTTCGCCATCACTGGGATAGAGCATCAGTCCTCGGACTGAAGGGTCCTGGGTTCGATTCGGTCAAGGGCAAGTACCTCGGTTGCAGGTTCAATCAATCCCCGGGCCTGGTCAGGTCAGGGCTTGTGTGGAAGGCAACCAATAGATGTGTCTTATCAATGTTTCTCTGTCTCTCCCCCTCCCTTCCACTTTCTAAAAGTCAATGGGAAAGTATCATTGGGTGAGGATTAACAAAACAAAAAAAATGATAGGGAGGCTGGGCCCAGGACCCTTGGAAATGTGGAGAGCCCAGGGAGCTGGGTGGGGCCGAGGGCAAGAGGAAAGGAGGGTGCCAGAGCCTGGGACACATCAGAGAGCAGGAAACCAGCCAGACCCAAGTCCTTCCACGCTTCTGTGGGCAGCCCAGCCCGTCCAATCCCAGTCCTCTTCAGTGTTTCACCTTTTCCTTCTTGGAGGGGGGAGGGCAGGCCTAAAGCAAGGGTTGCAAGCTTTCTGGACTCCTGGGAGTGAACTGGCCCCTCCTCAAACGCACCTCTGAGCCAGGCTTACCCAAGCTTGCAGATTATGGAGGGAAGGAGGGTCTTTCTGGTTGGATGGTGGGGGGCTGAAGGCAGAATTCCCTTCTCTTCCCCTGGCAGAGGGATGGGCAGGCTGTGCTGGAGAACGTGTCAGAGGATGGCAAGGAACTCCCCGGTTGCCTGGGGAGACACCAGAATGCAGGTGAGGAGCAGGGTGGGCCGGGTGCCACCCAGGAGGAGGGAAGTGACCAGCCTTGGTTCCTGGGCTTCAGCATGGGGACTGCCTTCCTCCTTCCACCCTCTACCAACCAAGGACCAGGCAAAGAAGGGGTGATAGGCCTCCCAGGCTGGGGTGTCAGCAGGAGAGGCAGTCTGGGGTGGGCTGGGGGGTGAGTTTTCTGCATGGGAGAGGCTGTTGGGTGGGGCAGGGAGCTCAGAGCAGCTCCCACTGTTAGGGAGGAAGGCAGGCACAGTGGTCAACACAGGGCTTGAGCCTCCCTGCGTAGGGGAGAATCCACTGCCTACCTTACCCTGAGCCTTCACCAGGCCACGCACTAGAAGCTGGATGGTTCCTGCTCCGTCACGCCACCCGGAAAGGTGACCCTGAACTTCGAGCCCACATTATTGACAAGTTCCTATTGTTACCTTTCCGCTCTGGATGGGATCCTGACCACGGAGGCCTCTTGTACTTCCAGGATGTGGATGGCCTCTGCCCTACCCAGGTAGGAATGCGCCCAGGGCCACATGATGCTAACCTATTCTAAGCTTTCTGTCCTGGGTAGTTCATAGCTGCTGCCATCACCTATTTCTTTTTTAAAAAATATATATTTCTTTATTGATTTCAGAGGAAGGGAGAGGGAGAGAGAGATAGAAACATTAATGATGAGAGAGGATCATTGATTGGCTGCCTCCTGCACGCCCCCTACTGGGGATCGAGCCTGCAACCCAGGCATGTGCCCTTGGCTGGAATCGAACCTAGGACCCTTCAGTCTATAGGCTAATGCTCTATCCACTGAGCCAAGCTGGCTAGGGCGCCATCACCTATTTCATAGAGAGGGACTCGGGGCTCAGCACTGAACTTGCCCAGTGTGACCCCAGTGGTAAGTTCTCGACTTCTGTGCCAGTGGTCCTCAACCTTATGTGCATAGGGAGGCCACTAGGGAGCACAGACAATGCCGATGCAGAGACGCTTGTCCCCTTCATCTTTGAAAAGGCTCTCTGGGTGATTTGTTTTAGTAAAAGTTTTCAACGTTTTAAAATATATTTGTATTGATTTCATAAAGGAAGGAGGGGGAGAGAGATATAGAAACATCCATGATGAGAGAGAATCATTGATCGGCTGCCTCCTGCACGCCCCCCACTGGAGATCGGGCCCACAACCCGGCCATGTGCCCTGACCGGGAATTGAACCGTGGCTTCCTGGTTCATAGGTCAATGCTCAGTCACTGAGCCATGCTGGCTGGGCTCTCTGGGTGGTTTTAAGGTGTCAGCAGGGGGAACAGATTTGCTCCCTATGTCTGTTTCCTCTCTGTCTTGATCCTGCTGAGATCTGCAGAGGGTGGCTGAGTGTCCGAGGGGCTTTAGACAGACTGACAAGACAGACATGGTTTCAATTCCAAGGTTAAAGAGAAGCCTGACCCACCCCTGCCCTTTGGGGTGCATTGGCTCAAGAAGCTAGTCCTGCCCTAACCGGTTTGGCTCAGTGGATAGAGCATCGGCCTGCGGACTCAAGGGTCCCAGGTTCGATTCCGGTCAAGGGCATGTACCTTGGTTGCGGGCACATCCCCAGTAGGGGGTGTGCAGGAGGCAGCTGATCGATGTTTCTCTCTCATCGATGTTTCTAACTCTCTATCCCTCTCCCTTCCTCTGTGTAAAAAATCAATAAAATATATTAAAAAAAAAAGAAGCTAGTCCTATTCTGAGGAGCCTTTCGAACCCCCAGAGATGTCCATCCTGTGACTAGGCTCCAAGTGCTTGGGCCAGAGGGAGTCAGAGCCAGGACCTGAAAGATGAGGGTGACCTTCCTGCTGAGACAGGTGTTGGGCGGTGGGACGCAGGGCTCTCAGATGCTACCTCTGCTCTGCTCTCAGCTGGAGTGGGCCATGAAGCTCTGGTGGCCGCACAGTGAAGCCATGATTGCCTTCCTTATGGGCTACAGCGACAGTGGGGAACCCTGCCTTACTGCACCTCTTCTACCAGGTGGCTGAGTACACCTTCCGCCAGGTAAGTGCTGCTTCCTGGTCCACAGCCCTTGATGGGCTGGGCAAGGGTGTGGAAGAGACAGTGGGCAGTCATTCTTCCCTGGGCAGGCCAGGGCCAGGCTTTCCTGGGCAGTGGGAGAAGGCTGGGCAGGGATAGGGTGGCTCATCCCGCACCCCCTACTCTCTGCTTCATTGAATGTGGTCCCTCAGCTGATCTGAGAGTTCCTGGAGGTCCCCCCAGTGCCCTCTGTTTAGTCAACAAAGCAGTCCCTGCTCCCCTGGAGCTCATGTTTCAGTGGGGAGGGGGGGGACACAGACTATAAACTAGTGAACAGGCAAGCACAGATGGCGATGGGAACTATGGAAAATAAAGCAAGGTCAGGGGCTGTGGGAAGGAATAATGGTGGTGGGGGTGGTCTGTACAGAGTTATTAGCTTGTCTGATTTAGGCATTACTGGGTCCTGGGCCTTCAGGAAGAGACTGTGGGGCACAGAGCCAGAGGCTGTAGCTGTCATGCTGGCCAGTGAGGGTGGGGGCCTGGCCTGGGGTGGGAGGTGCAGTGGACAGATGATCATAGTCTAGTTAATTGGGAAGGTCTGGGCCATGACTGTTTGGGTGCCATAAGAATATAGATGATACTGGAAGCCAGGAGACAGAGTAAGCTTTTAAAAGTACAGGAGAGGAGGGAATAGGAGGGCCCAGCAAAGGAGACAAGAACCAGCAGGGGGTCTTGTTCTCAGGTCCACGGACTTTAAAACTGGAGGGAAAATTACATCTTTATTTTTACTAAGCACTAACTGAAACCCAGCATTTACTCCCATTATGAATGGAGGCAGTGACCACAGTAGCAGCGCCTAACTTTGTCACCAATAGAAGCCCCAAATATGTTCATGTTACACTGTACTTAGAGAGGCATCTCAAGTATAGCACAAGCTCATCACTACTTCCAAACCAGGAAGTCATGAGACTCAAGGCTATGTCTTTAAAAATATTTTTTAGTGATTTTTTTTTGTCTTCCTTCTGTCAAACCCTGAGCCAACCACTTTCCCCAGGCTGCCTAGGGAGGTATAGGAAAAAGAACATACAGGGCAGACAAGACACGGGAAAAAGAACTATGGGAGGTGGAGACAGCTCCTTCACATGGCGAAGAGGAGGAGAAAGGCCACCATCAGGCAAAAGAGCCCCATGGCCTCTGAGAGGGCAAAGCCCAGATGGCGCAGGAGAAGAGCTGTTGCTTCAGAGAAGGGTTCCTGGCATAACCAATGATGAGGCTCCCAAACACAGTCCCAATTCCAGCCCCAGAGCCTGCCACCCCTACTGTGGCAGCCCCAGCCCCAATGAACTTGGCTGCTGTGTCGATGTCCCTTGAAATGGCACTGGTTTGGAAGCTGCGGCTAGAAATAAGCGAGGTCAGGGGACGCGGGGCTGCCAAGCTGCTGAGGCTCTCATCTGTCAGTGTCTCTGGTCGTTTCAGCACCACTGCAGACATTGACCGGCTCAGCTGAGAGGTGCTCCGGACCAAGGAGGGGGTGGACACAAACTTGGTGCAGGCATACAATTTCAGGGGATGAGGGGAGCTGCTCCCAGTGCAGAGAAGACAGAGGGCGGCGGGGCTGGAATAGCGAAAGGAAGGGTTTGCGCATGCGCCTAGTGATTTTTTTTTAAGGGAGAGGAAGGGAGAGGGAGAAACATCGATGTGTGAGCAAAACATCAATTGGCTGCCTCCTGCACAGCCCCTACTGGTGATGGAGCCTGTAACCCTGACATGCGTCCTGACTGGGAATTGAATTAGCACCCCTTGCATGCAAGGGATGACACCAACTGAGGCACACTGGCCAGGGGCAAGGCTATACAGTGGGGCCTTGACTTACGAGTTTAATTCGTTCCGTGACGAACCTCGTAACTCAAATTACTCGTATGTCAAATCAAAAAGTGGCCCTAACCGGTTTGGCTCAGTGGATAGAGCGTCGGCCTGCGGACTGAAAGGTCCCAGGTTCGATTCCGGTCAAGGGCATGTACCTTGGTTGCGGGCACATCCCCAGCAGAAGGTGTGCAGGAGGCAGCTGATCAATGTTTCTCTCTCATCGATGCTTCTAACTCTCTATCCCTCTCCCTTCCTCTCTGTAAAAATATCAATAAAATATATTTTTTAAAAAAAAAGTGAACGAGTGAGACACATGATGCTGGGCTGATGTAGCGGTGGGGTACCTGAAGCTGGCTCGTAACCCGAATTTTAGCTCGCAACTCAAAGCAAAAAATCGGCCGAGAGATGGCTCGTATCTCGAAAAACTCGTCGGGACACTCGTAAGTCAAGGCCCCACTGTATCTTAATACTGAATGCATTCATGAAGAACATGTGTTAGAGGCCACCAGTTTAAACTGTCTGAAGTTACAGTTTTAAGGAATATATTTCCAAGAGATAGAGATGGCATTTGAACAAGATAGTGTTTCTGTTATCTCCAAGCAGGGTTCTTGTTGGTTTATCCCCTAGTGTTTCATCTAACAGCCTGTGGCCCTTTCCCTCAGTGGGTTAAACAACTGCAGACTTTCATCCTTCCCACCCCCCTGGCAGGAAGGGAAAAAGGGAAAGCCCCTCGCTTTTATCTTTGACCACTATGCTGAGCACTGATCTTGGAGCCTTGTTACCTGGGGTCAACCGCAGCTCTGACCCGGGTCGCGGTGCAGTGGGGCAGTGAGAAGCCCTTCCCCAGGCCTGTCTCATATGGACAGCTCCTGTAGGTGCTGGCTGTCACTGTGTCATTGTTATTCCAGTTTCGCGATCCTGAGCATGGGGAGTGGTTTGGCTACCTAAACCGAGATGGGTCGGTTGCCCTCACCATCAAGGGAGGTCCTTTCAAAGGTGAGTGGGAGACTGGGTGGGGCCTCGGGAGCTCTGGAAATTTGGTTGACCCCGGCCCTCCCAACTCGCCATCTCGCCTTTCCCCGCAGGCTGCTTCCACGTGCCGCGGTGCCTAGCCATGTGTGAAGAGATGCTGGACGCTCTGCTGAGCCGCTGAGCCCCTGTCCCTGTCCACGCCCCGATCCCTGCCCAGGGCGCCGGGTCCCCACCTGCCGATCCCGCCCGCGGAACCGCAAAATAAAGCTGAGCCTGTTCCTCTGCCCGCGAGTGTGTGTGTGTCTGTGGGGTCGAGGGAGGGGCAGCCGCCGCGGTGGCCGGAGGACACCTGCCCACCCGGCCAGTGACCCGCCAGCCCACGGTCCGATCGCCCCGAGCATTTGCCTACCCCCGCCCCGCCCACCGACAGCCCCGCCCCGGCCCCCGGCCCGCCTCCCCCATTGGTCGTGCGGCCACGAGGGCGGGCGCAACGGCAGCACTTCCGGCCTGTGGACCGCCCGGTGCGCACCGCCCCTTCCGCCGCCGCCCCCGCGAGCCCGAACCCGGCCCCGGCCCCGGCCCCAGCCCCAGCCCCAGCCCCAGCCCGGGTCCGGCCAGCAGCAGCTGACTGCGCGTTCACGATCCGCTGGGAGCCGCCATCCTCGCCGCCGTCATGAACATCCGCAATGCGAGGGTGAGGGTCCGGGGCGGAAGACTGTCCGCGTGGCGTGGGTGCGGGCTGGGTGGCCGCGTGCGCATGCTCTTGAGGGGCCTAGAGTCCCGGGCCCGGCCGCCCTGTGCGGGGCTGGTGAAGGCCATCGTGCCCGTGGGGCTGGACCTACACGAAGAGGGGGCCGCACCTACCCGGAGAGGGGGTCGGGGCTGCAAACCCCGTCTTTGCGGGATGTCGGGGCTCAGTTGGATGGTGTCTGGGAGCTCCCCTTGCACCCACATTCATTCCAGGAACAGGCGATTTTTGCACAGTGGCTGTGGGCCAGACCGGTGTAAAGACAGGCCCGCCCAGCCCTGCGGGGGTAAGGCGGGCGGGAGCGAGGCGGGGCGGTGGGTGTGAATAGACAGACAGCGAGCGGGCTTTGACAGGACCCAGGCCTGCTTAGTCACTGCAGCCCCTGGTCTGACCGCATTCCCCTGCCCTCCTCCCGCAGCCAGAGGACCTGATGAACATGCAGCACTGCAACCTGCTGTGCCTGCCGGAGAACTACCAAATGAAGTACTACTTCTACCATGGCCTCTCCTGGCCCCAGGTGGGCAGCTGGATTTGGGGACTGGGGACACGAGGCGTCAGTTTGGGAGGAGTGGGTGCTCTCAGCTGGGGTGGGGAGCTTAAGGACTGGGCCAAGGGAGGGGCAGGATTCCCACCTGTGTCTGTCCTCTCCCTGCCTACGACAGGGCAGAGTGTGGAATGGGGAAACCAAGGCACTTGGCCTGGAGGTCAGGAGCTGTTACTGAACTTACCACTGGAGGGACTTCTGTCTGTCATGCACACAGCGAGCTATGGGACTAGGTGGCTGCTAAGGGCTCCTCACCTCTGACAGGAAGTTGTTCTCTGACTTCTTTCTCCTCCCCGTCACCCAGCTCTCTTACATCGCTGAGGATGAGAATGGGAAGATTGTGGGGTATGTCCTGGCCAAAATGTGAGTTACCAAGGAGGGAAAGAAGCCTGGTGTGGGAGCTGGGGGATGGGGCATGGCTCTTCCACAGGGGTGGGGGCACCAGCACTGCACGTGTCTGGTGGGTGCTGCCTGGGTTGTTTTTTTAAAATTAATTTCTAGACTCTTTTAAGTTCAGTTTTCAGTTAAAAATTTTTAATGTATTTTTATTGATTTCAGAGAGGAAGGGAGAGGGAGAGAGAGATAGAAACATCAATGATGAGAGAGAATCATTGATCGGCTGCCTCTTGCACGCCCCCTACTGGGGATCGAGCCTGGAACCTGGGCATGTGCCTTGACCTCCTGGTTCATAGGTCCACGCTCAACCACTGAGCCACACTGGCTGGGTTAGGGTTAGGGTCAGAGTTTTTCGGGTCTATCCCCAGGAGAGGGATTACTGGGTTGTGGTCATATGGTAGCTCTATTCTTAAATTTTTGAGGAATTGCCAGACTGCTTTCCATAGTGGTTGTACCAGTCTACCTTCCCACCAGCAGTGGATGAGGGTTCCCTTTTTTCTACAGCCTCTCCAACACTTGTCATTGCTTGTCTTGTTGATAATGGCCACTCTAACAGGTGGGAGGTGGTATCTCATTATAGTTTTGATTTGCCTATCCCCAGAATGTCATTTAGCTGCGATCAGAAACGAGGTAGCCTTTTCAGATTGGCTTCTTTCACTTACTAATGTGCATTTAAGGTTCCTCCATGTCTTTTCATGGTTTGCTAGCGCATTTCTTTTTATCACTGAACCATATTCCATTGTACTCCATTGACACTACACATGTCTTTTGGCTGCGGTGAGGGGTTTGAGAGTCCCAGCTCTCCTGCCACCCCAGATCTGGGGCTACCTCCTGGCACATGGTCCTGCCATGCGCATGTGCCGGGAGGTGGGGGTGGCTACATCTTCACCAGGCTCCTTGCTAACCTCTCTCCTTTCTTCTTGATCTAGGGAAGAGGACCCAGATGATGTGCCCCACGGACATATCACCTCACTGGTGCGTAGGGCCCACGCAGGCTTTGATGGGGGTGGAAGTAGGGGTTAGTTGGGGCAGCCCTCAAGCTCCTAGCCTTCTTCCTCCAGGCTGTGAAGCGTTCCCACCGGCGCCTTGGCCTGGCTCAGAAGCTGATGGACCAGGCCTCCCGAGCCATGATCGAGAACTTCAATGCCAAATACGTCTCCCTGCATGTCAGGAAGAGGTGGAAGCCGGGGCCGAGGGAAGGGAGGAGTGGGGAGAAGATACTGTGTTGATGTGGGTCTTGGGGGTGCCCTGGCTTTTGGAGAAGATCTGGGGAGTGGGATTAGTGGGGAGGGGGCACTAGGAAAAGGGGCAGGACCTCGACGTGCTGTCCCTGCCTGGCCGAGTCTGTGCAGCTCAGCAGTCCCTTATTCCCCTGCAGTAACCGGGCCGCCCTGCACCTCTATTCCAACACCCTCAACTTTCAGTAAGTAGATCTAGATTTTTCTAATGGAGTGGGGTGGTCCCAGGTCTGGCTGGCTCATCCATGTGGCTGACATGGACTGAGCTGCCTTCCGGGCTTGGGGGGCAGGGGCAGCTGAGATGGGGAGCAGGTCCTGGACTCCACACACATTGCCAGGGTGCCTCCTCCATTCTCAGTGGCAACAGCACTTGCCTGCTGCCATCTGCCCAAGGATTGTGTGATGCAGGAGGATGTGTGGTGTGTCTTGCTGGGTGGAGGAGCGATTGCTTGATGGTGGCCGAGAGCAGATGATGGGCAGTGTGGTGAGGAGCACATGGGCTACTCGGGAGTATACATGAGGGCTCAGGACATGAGCAGAAGCCTAGGAATAGAACTCAAAGTGGCCAGGTACCTAAAAGCATCCAAGTGGGACCAGAAGAAAGGAGAATGTGCTGCTACAGAAGCTTAAGCACATCCAGGTAGGATGTGCTGTCAGCCTGGGGAGCAGAGGGACCGCAGCGGTCGCCAACCGGGGTTCCGCAGACCACTGGTGGTCCGTGAGATCCGAAAGGTTAGCGCCCGCTGACCCAGAGCCCTAGGCATCCTGGTGGATGAGGGCGGGTCCACTCAGGGACATTGGAGTCTCTGTATGCCCGGCACAGGACAGAGAGACCCTGGCAGGGAATCGACGCATCCAATCCATGATGGCAAAAGCTACTTGAAAGTGAGGCTGGGTGGGCTGTCCATGTAGGAACCCCCTGAGACAGGACTCAGCCTCAGTTTGGTGGAGGATGAGAAGGGACTGTTGTGAAGGGCATTTGAGGAACAATATTTTTTTTTTCATTTTAATAATTTACTTTATTTAACCCAATAAATCCATATTCTTCTCATTTGAACAGGTAACCAATATAAGAAATTATTGAGTTACTTTACATCCGCTTTTGTTTTGCTAAGTCTTTAGATTCCGGTGTGTTTTACACTGGCAGCACGTCTCAAGGGGCCACGTGTCTGGTGGCCACCTATGGGACCTGCTGGTCTAGAGTTCCCATGTGAGGCTGTGCAGGGAGGCACGCACGATTCTGGGTGGGCTGCATTCAGATTTTTTTAAAAAACACATTGAAAAGTTCAGGGTAATGCAACTAGAGCAGAGCACATGGCCCTGCAACACCTCCATCGCCTCGGTGGGGGCGTCAGGGCCTGGGTGGATGTGACAGATGTGAAGGGCAGAGGTGCACCTGTGGGCCTCCTGTCCTCCCCACAGTGATAAAATCTGAGGAGCAGTCTTTGATCCAAATGCTGATACCTCTGATCAACCATTCCAGGGGCTTAGGTATGGCAGGGACTTTCTAGGCCATCGAGTCCAGGCCCCCTTTCAGTGGCAGATGCCCAAGTCTGCAGGCACACCTCCAGTGAAAGCTCAGCCCCTGCACTGCTCAGGCCAGGGCCACGCCTGGCAGTGCCTGGCAGGAACAGAGGGTGCAGCACCCTCCTCCCCGTTCCAATTGCGAGGCATAGGGACCGACAGTGCATTCTCGGTAAGTGACAGGGAGCAGGGCAGGGAGGGAGAGGATGGTTAAATTCAGGGCTTCAGCTCACAAGAAACCACAGAAAGTTCTTGGTAACCAGGTTAGGATATGCAGGACCATGGCAGGACCCGGGGAGTGGGGAGAGGGATAAAGGTGCTGGGTACTACTTACTGCTTGACAGAGCAGAGGGAAGGCTGTGTTGGAAATGGGGCTTGTCTACAAAAGGGTCCTTTGGGTGGAAATGACATCTTGCCCCACTAGCATATGACGCCAGAAAGCTGAGGAGAATTTGACCCCTGATTCTCGGGTTGTCCTCCTTCTCTCCAACCCCTGCCCACAGGATCAGTGAAGTGGAACCCAAATACTACGCAGATGGGGAAGATGCGTATGCCATGAAGCGGGATCTCACCCAGATGGCCGATGAGGTAAGTCTCGGGGGGGGCCAGGGCCACAGTCCCCACAGATAAAGAAGAGCAAGGTAAGTAGGGGAGCCCCTGCTGGAGGGAAGGTGAAGCTCCCAGGGGCCCTGAGACAGTAGGAGGCCTGTGATGGGCTAGAGACAAGATGGATCAGGTGCTAGCCATTGTGACTACGTTGCTGGGAGTCATGGTGCTCATCACCTGTTTCCCCAGCTGTCAGGGAGCTGGGCCTTGTCAGGGCTTTGAAGGAGGCCACAAGATTCCATTCTCAGGAAGAAGCCTGTGCCACTCTGAGGCGTGGTGTGAGAGGCAAGGGAGGGAGGCCCCTGGATGCACTGAGAATGAGGGCTCCAGGATAGCAGTGGGGGCCTGGGGACAGCCATGGCCTTCCCCAAGGCTCAGGGGTAAGACAAAACAGGGCTGAGGAGAAAGTCAAGTCCTTCAGCAGCCCAAATGAGGGAGGCATGAGCATACTCCCTTTACAGGAGAGAAAACAGCCCCAGGCAGAGCAGAGCCAGGATTCAACTCAATGCGGGCCTGTGTTTCCTACCCTGGCCCTGCTGCCTCTCATTTTACCCTCTGCCCCCAGCAAGTGACAGACACAGGCTCCCTTGGGCAGCCAGAGAGGGCCTACATGGTCTGGAGACTTAGGTCCTGTCGTCTTCCTCCTGCTTCTCCCTGGGCTCCTGGTGGCAGCTGAGGCGGCACCTGGAGTTGAAGGAGAAGGGCAGGCACACAGTGCTGGGCGCCATCGAGAACAAGGCGGAGAGCAAGGGCAACTCATTGCCCGGCTCAGGAGAGCCCGGTCGTGAGGAGAAGGGCCTGGCTGCCGAGGACAGCGGTGGTGACAGCAAGGACCTCAGCGAGGTCAGCGAGACCACAGAGAGCACCGATGTCAAGGACAGCTCAGAGGCCTCCGACTCAGCTTCCTAGAGCCTCCTCTCCCTGCCCTGGCCCTCCCATCCTCACCTGAGGTTACACAATAAACTTCACCCAGGGGGGGGTTTGTGTGTGCGAGTGTGCGCGTTTGTGGGGGGTTGCCTCTCTCAGGCCCCTCTGTGTCCCTGTGGGGCTGGACCTCACGACCCTTTGGCACAGCGCATCCTGGAAAGTCCGAGTAGCTTCGTGTGGGCTTTGGAGGTGGAACTCCCAAGTCTGATGGCTTTCAGCATCTTTGGGCGCTAGGGAGGGAGACCTTGGAGTTCTGGGAGCCACCCCCACCTTGGAGACAGATGTTCTGCCTTCTGAGCCCTGCTCTTCACTGCCTTGCTGGGCTTTAGATGCCTAAGTCCAACTGCTCATCGAGCTTCTCCACTGATGTCCTATCTGGATAATGGCCCAACCAGCTACCCAGTTGCTGAAGTTCTGGCAACTGTTTTTGATTCCTCCGTCTCCTGCATCCAAAAGGTCAGTGGGTCCTGTGTCCCTTGAATCTACTTCCTAACCTAAGCCTTAATTTAAAAATAATTAATAGACTTTATTTTTAGTAGTTTTAAGTTTACAGAACTGAGCAGATAGTGTGGCGTTTCCACACACCCCATCTACCCCCTCTGTTTCCCCTATTAACATTTAGTATTGTGTTACATTTGTTACAATTGATGAGCCAATATTGATACATTATTAACTATAGTCCAGGGTTTACATTTCCCTCTATGGATTTTGACAAATGCATACTGTCATTTCATGCAGAATATAAGCCTTTTATTTTTCACAGCTTCACTATAATCCCCAAATTTGTTCCTGTGCCCTTTTTTCTGGCTGCAGCGCCATCACTTGCTGCTCCTAGCCCCAGAGCAGGCTGTCTGGGCTGCCCACCTCCCAGGGAAGCTCAGCACTCCTGAGCTGTCACTACCTTATGTCCCTGCTACTGCAGATGGCACGCTATTCCCCCTGCCTGGCTGAATTTTTCGCCATTGGGCTAGAGCTCGCTTCTCATTGGCTGGCGCCTGACACGTGATCAGCAGGCAGCCGGGGGAGCTGAAGCTAGGGGGCGGGGGTAAGGTCTGAGGGTTGCGTCTGCGCATTGCCGCTCGCTCGCTGGCTCCGGCGGCGCTTTGTTCTGATTGGCTCCGTTACTCGCTCCGCCCTCCGCGTCTGGCGTCAGTCCCTTCTGGTTCGCAAGCGGCGGCGGGCTTCGTTCCCAGGCTCTGACTGGTCCGGCGGCGGAGGCAAGCGTCCACGGGCGCTGCCTAGGCCGCGCCCCAACGGTGGTGGGAGGGAGCCGGTGGAGGTTTGCGCGGCGCCCGCCTTCCTCCTTCTGCCCAGCCCACAGGGACCTAGCACACCCTTTGCCCTCGGTGCCCTGTTCCCTTGCGGGCCCTTGAAGCTCGGCCGCCCCCAGGCGGTTGAGTTTCCTGGGCGGAGGTGGGAACTGCGGGGGGGGGGGGTGTGGGAGGGAGGGGGAGGGGAAGCCACAGGCCCGAATGGCCCTTGGGGCCCAGCACTTCCTCGCCTCTGCAGCACCTTCCTCTGGGAGGGGCCGCTTCCATTCCTATGAACCGAGCTGTGGGTGGAAGGCTGATGGAGGGAAGGCAGGCTCCCTTACCCTCTCGCCATGTGGCTGGGATACGCTGCTGCGGGGGCGTTCCACCTCCCCCCCGCCCCCCAGAGCCTATACACTGAGGTGCAATGTTAAACTTCTGGAGAGCTGATTTGTAGGTAAATAAGAGGGGCCTCACGGCCCAATTCTTGCTCTGATGTGGACTGCTTGTAACAACCTCCCCTTTTATCTCATCTCCCCTCTGCTCTGTCAGCCATGCAGCAGATCTGACCACGTCAGCCCTGTGGTCACCCCTCAGGACCAAGTGTACACTGCACTCATTAACAGGTTTAGCAAGGTCCCGCAGATCTGGTCCCTGCCTAATGCAGGATAATGGGATTTTGAATTCTCTGGGAACAATAGAACTGAGGCTAGTTAAGGCCTTAAATGCCAAACAAGTGTCCTAAAAGCTAGGGCTAATTACTTGAGGTTTTAAAGCATTGGCTGGATGGGGCATTGCGTCAGCATTTCTGGAGTCAGAAAAAGACTGAGGAGAACATTTGAAAGTAGGGGCTGAGGTGAGTTCATCAGCAGCTTCCTGGGGGCTTGAGCCCTGTGCCAGGCTCTGTTGGATGGGCGAAGGGCTTTTAGGGATCACTCAGGGATCGGATGGAGGAAAAGGGGGGGAAGCTGTGTTGGAGTTTGCTGATGAGGAGCATGGGTTCCTGACACAGGAGCAGTTTCAGGGGTGGGGGCACCCTTGCTGCAGGAGGGGGGCAGGAGAGGCTCCCTCACCTGTCTTGCTGAAGGATTCGAACAGTTGGTACAGCTGAGACCTGCTGCTGGAGGCCCAGGTCCTGGGACTGCTGGGATCTGGCCAGCTCCCCAGCCTCCCAGCCCCAGCCTCATGGACACATAACATCCTAGAGAAGGCCCTTGGTACTGGGGGAGGGGGGGTGGGCAGCAAGCTGAGGAGGTATGTTTTCCCCTTCTGGGTAAGAGAATTGCTTATAGTTGAAAGGCAGGAAGTACCTGCACCCCTGCCCCGCCCTCCCAAAGGGCTGCAGGTCTAGGTCACATGTGCTCACACGTGTACAGAGCCTGACTTTGATATCCCTGCACACAAAGGCCTGGACCCCTCGCACTAGTGCCTACAAACCAGCCTCCCTGAGCACAAGCCTCACTCCTCTCCCACCATCTATACCCCAGGGATTTCCCTCCCAGCCAACTGAAGACAGTGGTATAGTCTGGCTTGTCACCTGCCACCTGCTCCTGCCTTCCCCGTTTGCTGGAGGAAAGCTGTTGCCCTGTGGCTTTGAGTTGCTAGAGAGGGGTGCAGGGAAACTACAGCACCCCTGGATAAGGGGGGGCAGGCTTACCCTCAGGCTTGCTCTGAGGGGCAGGGGGAAGGCTGTACCCCCACCCCCAAGCCTAGGACAGGACAGGTGCAAGCTGCAGGGGAAAGGAGACAGAGTCTCTTCCGGCAGCAGGAAGTGGTAACCACCTATGGGGAAACAAGGCTTGTTCCTCCCTATGGGGTGGAGCAAAAGGGGAACCTTAGCTGAGCACTGCTGTCCCCCTCAGAGGGGGGCTGGAGGGAACAACGGCTGAGGTTCTATCCTCTGGTGCTGACCTTCCTTACCAGCCCACCCTGGGAACGTTGCACCCGGTTCACCAGGTTCCTGGCACTTATCCCTTAGGGCTGTGACTTGGGAAGGGTGGGCTCCATCTTAAAACCCTAAGGTTCTGGGGGAAGCTGGTGCCTCAAGGAAGTCCAGGGCCTGGAGCAGCTCCTAGCATTGAGGGCCAATGGCCGTGCTGTGAAGAGTGCTGTATGGCAGTGGTGGCCAGGCAGCCTTGTAGAGGTGGCAGGTCAGCAGCCAGAGGGTGCCAGCTTGCTGGGCACTTTGGGGCTCTCACACTAGCCCTGGCTGCTTGGCAGGAGAGCTCTGGGCACAAGGCGGCCCAGGTGTGGCCTAGCGCCCAGCGGGAGGGGAGGCAAGGCCCCAGTTCAGTGGGACCCCCTTCCCCCAGGCATCCTTCGAGGGCATTGCCAGGCCGGGGGTCGCCCCGCCCCGGGGCTGCGCTGGGGGCGGAGCTGGGCGGGGCTGGTGCAGGGTGCTGGCTGCGGAGCCCCAGGAACCCTGTGTAGTAGCAGCAGGGCTCGACGGCGCCGCTGCCCGGCTGCCATGGCCGCGCACGGGAAGCTGCGCCGGGAGCGGGGGCTGCAGGCCGAGTATGAGACGCAAATAAAAGGTGAGAGGGCGATGGGCTCTTCCGGTCCGGTTCCCTGCGGGGACCCAAGGCTGTAGGGGAGCCCCAAAAGTCCCGCTGCTGGCCCAGGGCCCGGTATCCTCCCCCAGTGACCTCAGGGGATGTTGAAGGAGGGAGCCTGAGCCCCCTGACCATCACCCCTTCCTTCCCCTTCCATCCCTTTCCATCCCCCTTTTCCTCCTCCATCACTCCCTTTCTTTGGTTTCTGCCCTCGAGTTCTCCCTGCACTTCACCCAAGGAGAAGAGAGTGGGGCCTCTGGGTGCACCAAGGTGACCCCCCAGAAAGTGGCATTCTAGCCAGAATGAAATCGAACACTTTGTCTTTGCTGAGGGGGGGCCCGGTAAGGAAGTCCGAGCGCCTAGGTGGATGTATTAGTGATGGCTTTGTCCTTAAACCACTTCAGTCCCTGTCGCCCAGCCCCTTTGCCTTCCCTTGGGCACTGAGGTGGCTCAGAGCTAGGGCCACTGTCTCTGGATCAAGCGGGCACAGTGAGTCTTGTCCTGAGAGATTGATCAGGGCCAGCCTCACAGCCTTCTGAAGAGTAGACCTCTTTGGGCGCCGATAAACACGCTGTGCAAATCACATGCAAATAGGGGTTTTATTTAGGGTGTGGTGACTCCTGCAAAGGGAAGAGGGTAACATCCAAAGGCACCGGCAGTTTGGGGGTCATCAAATTTCTCAGTGTCTTTAGTTGTGCGACCCCCAGATACCATTCTCCATCGCTCTGTTTGCCGATGGAAGAAACTGAAGCTCAGAGGAGCCGTGACTTGCACGCAGTCACACAGCACTACAGCTCCTAGGAGGTCCAATGAAATGACCCCTGAAGTTTGTTCCAACACAGAGATGCAGGTTGCAACGTAATTATCAATGCAAGCCATTGATACTAAAATATGCCCGAGTCCTCCCCACCTTAGAGAGGTGGCCTTCCACCCAGAGCCAGCGTGAGGCAATGGTGAGGGTGAGCCAGCTTGCCTAGCCTCACCTTCATCATTTCGAAGATGAAGAGAATGCTTCTCATCCTGCTTCCTCAAAATGCCACGAGGTGGGCTGAAGGACTTTGGAAAATTGGAAACTCTTCAGTCAGCAAATATGGGTCAGTTAATTGACACGGAAAAATTGGGAGTTTGAGTGAGGCTGTCTTTCAGATGTTCCTTATCTGCTCTGGCCCTCCGATGATTTTAGCTTCTGTTCCCTGCCCCCCACCCTCCACCCCCACCCCCATCACCAACAAAAGAAACTTCCTACCAGGCTAGAAAACAGGATCACTGTCTTGGCACCCTAAATTCTGACAGGTCAGCAGAGTCGTGGTCGGGAGGCCATCTTCTCTTCTGCTTTGCTTGTCAGCAGAAGTGAGACCTAGGCCTTGCTCACAGGAAGTGCTGGTGGGGCCCAAGCACAGTGGATTCCATCCTTCCTTATGACAGATGTTTTCTATACATCTATTCTGTTTCTTTTGCTGAGTAAAAGAGAACCAGTCGCTTCCGTCCTTACAGCTCAGAGACATCTAGTAAACAAGGCATCACACTTTTTTATTATTTTTTATTTTTTTTTTAAATATATTTTATTGATTTTTTACAGAGAGGAAGAGAGAAGGATAGAGAGTGAGAAACATCAGTGGGAGAGAAACATCGCTCAGCTGCCTCCTGCACACCTCCCACTGGGGATGTGCCCGAAACCAAGGTACATGCCCTCACACAATTTTTAAAAAATATATTTTATTGATTTTTTAGAGAGAAGAAGGGCGAAGAGATAGTTAGAAACATCAATGAGAAAGAAACATTGATCAGCTGCCTCCTGCACACTCCCCACTGGGGACATGCCCACAACCAAGGCACATGCTCCTGACCGGAATCGAACCTGGGACCCTTCAGTCCACAGGCCGACGCTCCATCCACTGAGCCAAACTGGCCAGGGCAATTATTTTTATTTTAAAATAACATTTTCATTTCAGAGAGGGAGAGGGAGAGAGAGAGAGAAACACCAATGATTAGAGAGAATCATTAATCGGTTGCCTCCTGCACATCCCACACTGGGGATCAAGCCTGCAACCCGGGCATGTGCCCTGACCGGGAATTGAATCGTGACCTCCTGGTTCATAGGTTGATGCTCAACCATTGAGCAACACTGGATGGGTGACATCACACAATTTTAATTATGAATCTAACCACTATAAAGGGAAAGCCCGGATGTCTAGAAAGGGGGTGGGAAGAGGGCCAGTCCTAGTTTGGGAAGAGGTCAGGGAAGGGTTCTCTGATGCATGCATCTGAGCTGAGATCTGAGAGGTGGACAGAGACATAGCCTCGAGGCTGGGACCAGGCACCAGGTCTTGGTGCTTAGAGAGCGCTAATTCCCAAGTCTCCTACTTGACACCAGCCAGTGCGCATGTCTGGATCCTGATCCAGGCAAGGCTGCCCTGAAGAATAAATGAAACAGTGTGGCAGGCTGGTCCATTCAGAACTGTCATTGTCCCCAGGGAGCTGTTGCTCCAGGAAGGCGGGGCAGATGCCAGAGGAAGGTGAGGTGAGCTTTGAGGTCTCAGACGTTTCTCGCAATGAAATGAAATTTACTTTTATTCGCAAAATGTTACCCCGAATCAATGAAGGCACTCCACCTGGCCTGCGGAGCTGAGAGTCAGCCACTGGAGCCCGGCCTCAGATGATAGAAAGACCCTGTCTTGCTTGCCTCTGCCCTGGTCTGCATTGATTTCCCTGTCAGGAAGTTGCCCCTCACCCCCCACCCCTGCCTTCCCCAGGCTTCCATTTACCCAGCTTGACCCCTCGGTGGAAAAAGAGCACCTTTTCACTAATTTTATTTTATTTATTTTTAATTATATTTTTTATTGATTTCAGAGAGGAAGGGAGAGGGAGACAGAGAGGTAGAAACATCAATGATGAGAGAGAATCATTGATCGGCTGCCTCCTGCACACCCCACACTGGGGATCGAGCCCGCAATCCGGGCATGTGCCCTGACCGGGAATCGAACCGGGACCTCCTGGTTCATAGGTTGACACAACCTCTGAGCCATGCTGGCTGGGCATCTTTTCAGTAATTTTAGTGAAAGTGTGCGGACTGTGGCCCCTGTGCCCACCACTGAGCCAATGGTGGGGGTGAAGGGGTTGAGGGACTAGTTATGGATGCAGCCACATCTGGGGCACCTGGAGTCAGGGAGAGGGACCCAGGGGCTGGGAATAGGAAGGGGTGTTCCACAAAGGGGGATCAGAGTTGGAGATGGGGGTGCCCAGCAGGCAGAACCCACTAAGGCTGCTCCACACGCCACACCCTTGGGAAGTCACTGGCGGCACAGAAATCCAAATGGTACCGGGACTGAACTGTCCACAGTGGAGTCCTCTCAAAGAGCCAGCCCAGTCCTGCCACTTCACCAATCCTCGCAGGTTGGCTCCCTGGACCGAGCCCTTATTGTCTTTTGCCTGGACTGGTGCAGTAGCGGCCAACTGGGCTGGGCGCTTCCCTCTGGCATTTGACCTCCTCCTGGCCTAGGCTCCCTGTGCCCCCCACTAGCCTCTCAGACTCCCTCACTTCCCCTGGCACCGCTGACCAGCCACACTGGCTCCAACCACCTTCACTGTTCCCTCTGCCTGAATGCTCTTCCCCCCGGTTGTCCCCACGGCTCCTCCCTTGCTTCCTTTTAGTTCTCGGCTCCAGTGTCACTTGTTCCTGACCACCCTCCTCTAAAAGAACCCTTCTCGGCCCCCTGCTCTGGTCTGTTCACTAGCTGTCTGTTCACCATTCCCATCTCAGCTCCATGAGGGCAGGCGCTCGGTCAGCCCTCTCTGCGTCCAGAACGCGCCTGGCGCAAACTGGGTATGTAGTCAACTTTCTGCGGAATGAAGAAAGCAGTTAATGTCCCTCCCGAGGCACATGGACAGAGATTAGTCAGTGGGTGACCTGCTTGCCAGAAGCCAGGACAGTGACTTATTTACCCAGGAGCCCCAGTTCCCACCTGGGCACGCAGTGGGTGGCAAAAGTGTTTGCAGCCGTTGCTTCAGCTCGTCATTCAGGCGGTTCTTGGCTGTAGGTCTGTGTGGGGAAAGCAGCGTTGCTTAATCAAGCCAGTGATAAGGCGTCAAAAGCCAGCAGAGTGGGGGCCCCGGGTGGGGCTCTATCTGCAGGGAGGTGGGACTGGGGGTGTCCTGGGGTGGGTGATCAGGAGTGGGAACTGAGGACAGAAGACAGGCCAGCTTCCTCACTCCCTTCACTTGTTAGCTCTGACCAGCACCCCCCCCCCCCCCCCGCTGTTGACCTTGGCCATGAGGCTGCCTTGGCCACAAGTTCACTGCAGATTTGGCAGCGCGCCACAGCCACCATGCTGTGCAGCCCCGTGTGTCTGCTTTTGTAGGGAGGCTGTTTTGCCTGGGGTCCTGGGCATCTAAGGGGCAGGAAGTGGCAGGGGAAGCAATTCTGGGGCTTTCCAGAAACCGGGGAGTTATGGGAAGCCTAAGTGAATGGCGCCTGGCTGGGACAGGGCAAGATGGGGCTAGGGCAGCTTTGTGTTCTCACCATCACATCTGGCTCCTGGATCTGCCATGCTCCCTCTCACCCCTGGACCTTTGCATGGCTCTCCCCTCTCCCTGAAATAGCCTTCCTGTTCCTCTTCAACCAGTTGGGCCTGGCTGGTTCCCTTTAGCCTCAGCCCAGAGGTCCCTCCCTTCAGGACTGATCTGAGCCCAGCTGGACGTCTGAACCTGGAACTTCTCCCTGGGGGCCTCCTTCTTCCCCTCCTGCCCCAGCCATCACCCTCAGGGCAGACAGGCAGACAGGACAGCCTGCTGCCCAGGCCTGAGCCACGGTTTCCCCACAGAGATGCGCTCGCAGCTGAGCGAGCAATTGCGCTGCCTGGAGCTGCAAGGGGAGCTGCGGCGGGAGCTGCTGCAGGAGCTGTCCGAGTTCATGCGGCGCAGGGCCGAGGTGGAGCTAGAGTACTCCCGGGGCCTGGACAAGCTGGCCGAGCGCTTCTCCAGCCGAGGAGGCCGCCTGGGGGGCAGCAGCCGCGAGTATCAAAGCTTCCGGTAGGTCCTGGTTGGCAGGATGGCCGTGCCCGGGCTCAAGCCCTGCTCCCAGTCTGAGTGCCCCTCTGTCCCCAGGAAGGAGCCGACCCTCCTCTCATCCTTGCACTGCTGGGCTGTGTTGCTGCAGCAGACTCGGCAGCAGAGCCGGGACAGCGCGGCCCTCAGCGAGGTGCTGGCCGGGCCACTGGTCCAGCGCTTGAGTCACATTGCGGAGGATGTGGGGCGCATAGTCAAGAAGGTAAGGCCCATGCCCTGGCTGGTTTGGCTCAGTGGATAGAGCATCTGCCTTCGGACAAAGGATTCAAGGGCACATGCCCAGGTTGTGGGTTCGATCCCCAGTGGGGGGTGTGCAGGAGGCAGCCGATCTATAATTCTATCTCATCATTGATGTTTCTATCTCTCCCTCTCCTTTCCTCTCTGAAATCAATAAAAATATAAAAATTAATTAATTTTTAAAAAAAAGAAAGAAGGTAAGGCCCTGCCTGGCCGGCGTGGCTCAATGGTTGAGTGTCGACCTATGAACCAGGAGGTCACGGTTTGATTCCCTGTCAGGGCACGTGCCTGGGTTGCGGGCTCGATCCCAGTGTGGGGTGTGCAGGAGGCAGCCGATCAATGATTCTCTCTCATCATTGATGTTTCTCTCGCTCTCTCCCTCTCCCTTACTCTCTGAAATCAATACAAATACATTCTTTTTTAAAAAAAGAAGGTAAGGCCCTGATCCTGGGTCTAGGAGGTGTGAATGGCCTCAGGATCTATCAAGGGAGGCCTGTGGGTACGCAATCCAGAGGCATCGGGGCTGGGAGGGCTAAGGGACCAAATGGGTGTCAGGCTGGGGGGAGCCTTGAGTGCCCGGCTGAGGTGCGGTGACCATCGCAGGACAGCGGTGGGTGCCGCACTGGGGCAGTGATTCTGTCACGTTTCCCCTCCTCCCCAGAGTAAGGATCTGGAGCAGCAGCTGCAGGAAGAGCTCCTGGAGGTGGTGTCCGAGCTTCAGACGGTGAGGATGCCAATCAGAGGGAGGCTCTCATATTACATCCCCACCGCCCCCCCCACCCCCCACCCCCTCCAGGCCCAAGGAGGCGGATCGGGTGTCCAGGAGAGCCCTACATTTCAAGGACTGCAAGCATGGCCCTTTCTCCCTGCTCTGGGCACAGGCTGGGTGGGCTAGGAGCTCATATGGGATTGCCTTACTCTCAGGTCTGAGTCCCTGAGCGGTTGGGAGGAGGACGGGGAGGGCTGGCTGTGGCCTTGGCCTTCAGCAGGGCTGCCTGGCCTTGGGCCCCCGTACAGGCCAAGAAGACATACCAGGTGTATCACACGGAGAGCATGAATGCCGAGGCCAAGCTCCGGGAAGCTGAGCGGCAGGAGGAGAAGCGGGCTGGCCGCAGTGCTGCTCCTGCCACGGCCACCACCCCCACTGAGGCAGGGCCCCTGCGCAAGACCTCTGTCAAGAAGGGATCACGAGTGGTAGAAAAGGTGGGCCTGGAGGCCATGGGTCAGTTTCAAGGCTATGGCTCCTGGCCTTTGTCCCTTTGAGCCCCTGGCCCTGACCAGGGCCTGCTAGAAGGTGGTGGGGGGAAGGCAGGGCTGCGGAGGGGAGAGCCACAGACCTCTGGCAGGGCTGGAAGAGGAGGGCCTGGGCTGTCTGCCCCCCAGCTCATCAGGGGCGAAGAGAACTCTGGTGCTTCCAAGCCCAGGGGCCTTTCCACTCACCCTCCCTGCCTCCTGCAGTGCCGTGAGGTTTCAGAGGCGCAAGGAGACACGGAGAGTGGGTGCTGGGGTGATGTGCAGGGTTAAGGAGCATTTGAAGAGAGGATGGAGAGGTTGAGGGTGGCAGGAATATCAGAATGTAGAGGCACCAAGCTGGGAAGAGCTGAGGTGGAGCTGGGGTTGCCAGCCCGAGGCTGCAGGGTTTGTGCGCAGTCAGGAGGGGTGGCTGAGCACTTCGGGGTTTCTGGCCATGCTGTTGAGGGACCTGTGGGACTTCGGCTGTAGCTGTCCACGTGGAGAGGGTAGGGAGGGGGAAAGAGTGTGGGGGATGGCCGGGTAGATGACCCTGCTGTACTTGCGTGGTCCTGAGCAGCGTCAGGCCAAGTTCTTGGAGCACAAACTGAAGTGCACGAAGGCGCGCAACGAGTACCTGCTCAGCCTGGCCAGTGTCAACGCCGCAGTCAGCAACTACTACTTGTATGACGTCTTGGACCTCATGGACGTGAGTGCGAGGTGGACAGGCGCGGGAGCTGGTGCCCAGTGCCCTGGGGCCCGCCCGAGCCGTGTCCTTGCTTTCTCCCCAGTGCTGTGACACAGGGTTCCACTTGGCCCTGGGGCAGGTGCTCCGGAGTTACACGGCTGCTGAGAGCCGCACCCAAGCCTCCCAGATGCAGGGCCTGGGCAGCCTGGAGGAGGCGGTGGAGGCCCTAGATCCTCCAGGGGACAAGGCCAAGGTGCTGGAGGTGCACTCGGTCGCCTTCTGCCCCCCGCAGCGTTTTGACTACCAGCCCCATGAGGGGGATGAGGTGAGGGTCACCGCCCCTGCCCCTTAATGCCCCCAGCATCGACGCCAAGGGCTTTGCGTTCTCTGCCCTTCAGGTAAGTCAATGAATTTCACTTTGCTAAGGGGTTGAAACTCGAATGTAGCTTATTTCTCGGACCCTCATTCAATGGCCTTAGGCAAATGACGTCTCCACGCTTGCATTTGAAGCAAACAAATTTCTGTGGCTCATTGCAGTTCACTCAGTGAATGAGCACCCACCTACCCCAACGGCAAACACAGCAAAAATATCACCAGTGTTGACACCAGGTGGTAGGTGGGCTTATGGCTATCCATATAGTTTTCTTCCAATTGATCTGTATGTTTTAGACGTTTCATAACAGACTTGGAGGGAAATAAACCATACAAGCAGTAAGATATAGCTAGGCATTGTTGTTTTTTTAAATATGTTTTTATTGATTTCAGAGAGGAAGGGAGAGGGAGAGAGAGATAGAACCATCAATGATGAGAGAGAATCATTGATCGGCTGCCCCCTGCATGCCCTCCTTACTGGGGATGGAGCCCGAAACCTGGGCATGTGCCCTGACTGGGAATGGAACCTGGGACCCTTCAATCCGCAGGCTGAGGGTCTATCCACTGAACCAAACCAGCTAGGGCTAGGCATGGAGCCCAGTGTGGGGTGTGCAGGGGTATGGAGCCCACAATCCAGGCATGTGCCTTGACCTGGAATCAAACTGTGACCTCCTGGTTCATAGGCAAATGTTCAACCACTGAGCCATGCCAGCCAGGCACTAGGCATCTTTTTACTTGTCTCTGCACTATTTTTTTCCTTTACCAGTTTATCCTAATGGGCATTGCGCATGGACTGGGATTGCATGGAGCTTTCAGTTATTTTATCTGTCTTTTGACCAAAGTAATGGTTGAAAAAGTCTGCCCTAACCGGTTTGGCTCCGTGGATAGAGCGTCGGCCTGCGGACTGAGGGGTCCCGGGTTCGATTCCAGTCAAGGGCATGTGCCTTGGTTGCGGGCACATCCCCAGTGGGGGACATGCAGGAGGCAACTGATCGATGTTTCTCTCTCATCGATGTTTCTAACTCTCTATCCCTCTCCCTTCCTCTCTGTAAAAAATAAATAAAAAATATTTAAAAAAAAAAAAAAGAAAAAGTCAAAGATGCCGGGCCAGCGTGGCTCAGTGGTTGAGCAGCAACCTATGAACCAGGAGGTCTCGGTTCAATTCCCGGTCAGGGCACATGCCCAAGTTGCAGGCTTGATCCCCAGTGTGGGGCGTGTGGGAGGCAGCTGATCAGTGATTCCCTCTCATTGATGTTTCTCTCTCCCTCTCCTTTGCTCTCTCTGAAATCATTAAAAGTACATTTAAAAAAAAAGAAAGAAAAAGTCAAAGGTTACTCCAGGCTTCCAGTGGCATACAGCCATTCTTGACCTCACCCTTTCTGTTCTTGATTCCTACTCCCCCAAAATAGCTACTTCCCCGTCTTCTAGCTGCTGCTTCTGGACCTTCCGTCTGCGTGTTCAGATCATGCAGCGGCTGCTAGTTGCTTTTTAACTTTCCATAGGCTCCGCTGACTTCCTTCCATGCATGACCAGAGCTCAGCCCCACCATATCCCTGTAATAGTCCTCTCACCTTGTCCACCGTGCCATGCAATCTGTGCGCTCGCTCTTATTTTTACTTTTTAAAATATATTTCTATTGATTTCAGAGAAGAAGGGAGGGGGAGAGAGAGAGACAGAACCATCAGTGATGATAGAGAATCATTGATCGGCTGCCTCCTGCATGCCTGAAACGAACATAAAAATAATATTGACTGTCAACTGTAATTGAAAAATAAAATAAAATGAGACTTCTTGTAATTAAATGTTGGACCTCATGGGTTAATTCTCTAATTTCCTTATCTATGCTCTTTCCTATTTCCACATCTCTATGCCTTTTAATTCTGCTTTCTGAGAGATTTCTTCAACGACCTCTTCCAAACCCTTGTTGAATTTTTTAAAAAGTGTACTTTCATACTTTTGTTTCTAAGAGTTCTGTTTTGTTTTCCAAATTCCTGTTTAAAATAATCCTTTGTTCTTGTTTCACGAATACAGTATCTTCTCAAATCTTTCTGCAGTGTTTATTTTTGTTTGCTTGACAATTTTCTCTGTTCCTTGCATTTTCTTCCAGTATTTTTTAAAAAATATATTTTATTGATTTTTTACAGAGAGGAAGGGAGAAGGATAGAGAGTCAGAAACATCGATGAGCTGCCTCCTGCACACCCCCCACTGGGGATGTGCTCGCAACCAAGGGACATGCCCCTGACTGGAATCGAACCCGGGACCCCCCAGTCCGCAGGCCGACACTCCATCCACTGAGCCAAACCGGCTAGAGCTTCTTCCAGTATTTTTTAAAATTTGTTTTAAAAAACAAATTGATCTGTCTTCCATTTTAGAGTTTCCCTGAAATGGCTGACTTGGCCATCAGTTCATATTTAAGAGGAGACACAGAGAGGGGAATTAAATACATGATGTGGCCCAGCCGCCGTGACTCAGTGGTTGAGCATCCACCTATGAACCAGGAGGTCACGGTTCGATTCCTGATCAGGGCATATGCCCGGGTTGTGGGCTCCATGCCCAGTGCGGGGGGGCCATGACGGGGGCAGCCAATCTATGATTCTCTCTCATTATTACTGTTTCTATCCCTCTCTCCCTCTCCTTTCCTCTCTGAAATCAATTTTTAAAAATGTGATGTGTGTGAGCAGAGCTGGTCAACAGTGCCCTTCCCCACAGGGTGGCTGGGCAGGGACTCACATCAATGCTGCGAGGGAGACCCACACCTTGGGGAACCGAGGAGGTGCATCTCAGTAAGAGGTTGCTAGGAAAAACTCTAGGGCTTGGCCTAGAATGGGGGGAGGGGAGTTGGGAGAGAGGCTTGACTCTGGCTTGGATGTTGACAGGAAGCAGGGGTAACTCTGAATGTGTGTCTTAATAAGTCTTATCTAGCCCTAGCCGGTTTGATTCAGTAGATAGAGCGTTGGCCCTTGGACCGAAGGGTTGTGGGTTCGATTCCGGTCAAGGGCACGTACCTTGGTTGCAGGCTCCGGGTGGGGCATGTGTGGGAAGCAACCAATTGATGTGTCTCTCTCACATTGATATTTCTCTCTGTGTCTCTCCCTTCCACTCTTTAAAAAAATCAACAGAAAAATATCCTTGGGTGAGGATTAACAACAGAAAAGGTCTTATCTGGAAGTCAGGGTGAGCGATGAAAGGAGGCTAAAGCTGTCTTCGGTGAGGAAGCAGCAGTCACTCAGGAGCTGGGACAGAGGAAAGTTCGCTTATATTTGTGGCTTGGACAGCGTTTTTGTTTGTGCGCAGACATGATTACAAGGTGGTCATGCTTTTGTCTTCACCCCTCATGGTCACAGAGGGGCCTTGTCTGATGCTGATGCTCTCTGACATTCCTTATGGTCAATGGGACAGCACCAAGACCCAGCTGTGAGTGCCCGGCCAGCTCCAGATGGCGGCGGCTGCCTTGCTCTTTCTCATCAGTAGGGAGTTTCGTCACCTTCAGCTGTGACTAGTGGACCTGAGTCCAGCATTCCTCTGATTTATCCTTTCCCGAGAGTAAATCTCTAGCTTTCTGCCAATCGTGTGGGTTTTGAGAGGGTGGGTCTTCTAACCTCAGTGCTCCCTATGGCCTTGATAGTCTTTTAAAAAGTATTTATTTGTTAAATTTATTGGGGTGACATTGGTCAACATGAACATACAGGTTTCCGGTGTAGGTTTCTATGTTACAAGATCTGTATATTGCACTGTGTGACCACCACCCAAAGTCAAATCTCCTGTCACCTTATATTAGGACCCCCTTCTCCCTCCATTCCCTTCCCTCTGGCAACCACCACACTGCTGTTTGTGTTCACAAGTTTCAGTTTTATATCCAACATATGAGGGAAATCATATGGTTCTTAGCTTTTTCTGTCTGACTTATTTCACTTAGCATAATGTTCTCAAGGTCCATCCATGTTGTTGCAAATGGCACTATTTCGTCCTTTTTATGGCTGAGTAGTATTCAGTTGTGTATATGACCCTGACCGGTTTGGCTCAGTTGATGGAGTGTTGGCCTGCAGACTGAAGGGTCCCAGGTTCGATTCCGGTCAAGGGCATGTACCTTGGTTGCGGTCACATCCCTAGTTGGGGGTGTGCAGGAGGCAGCTGATCGATGTTTCTCTCTCATCGATGTTTCTAATTCTCTATCCCTCTCCCTTCATCTCTGTGAAAAATCAATAAAATATATATTTTTTAAATTGTATATATGTACCACACCTTTATCCAGTCCTCTATCGAGGGAAACTTTGGTTGTCTCCATGTCTTGGCCACCGTGAATAATGCTGCAATGAACATAGGGGTGTATATATCTTTGCAAATACATGATTTCGAGTTTTTGGGGTCTATCCCCAGGAGAGGGATTGCTGGGTCATATGGTAGCTCTATTCTTAATTGTTTGAGGAATTGCCAGACTGCTTTCCATAGTGGTTGTACCAGTCTACCTTCCCACCAGCAGTGGATGAGGGTTCCTTTTTTTCACAACCTCTCCAACACTTGTTAGTGCTTGTCTTGTTGATAATGGCCACTCTAACAGGTGTGAGGTGGTAGCTCATTGTAGTTTTTTATTTTTTTTTTATTGTATTGATTTTTTACAGAGAGGAAGGGAGAGGGAGAGAGAGTTAGAAACATCGATGAGAGAGAAACATCGATCAGCTGCCTCCTGCACACTCCCCACTGGGGACGTGCCCGCAACCAAGGTATATGCTCTTGACCGGAATCGAACCTGGGACCCTTGAGTCCTCAGGCCAACGCTCTATCCACTGAGCCAAACCAGTCAGAGCTCATTGTAGTTTTGATTTGCATTTCCCTGATTGCCTGTGAGGTTGAACATCTTTTCATATATCTATTGGCTGTTTGTATGTTTTCTTGGGAGAGGTCTATTTTCAGGTCCTCTGCCCACTTTTTGATTGAGTTGTTTGTTTATTTGGTGTTGAGTTTAATGAGTCCTTTATATATTTTGGAAACTAAACCTTTGTTGGAGCTACTGTTTACAAATATCATATCCCATCTTGTTGGCTGCTTCTTTGTTTTGTTGTCTGTTTTTCTTGCTGTGCAGAAGCTTTTCAGTTTGATTTAATCCCATTCATTTATTTTTGCCTTTACTTCCCTTGGAGTCAAGTTCATAAAATGTTCTCTATGACCAAGATTCATAAGTTTGGTATCTATATTTTCTTTTATGTAACATTGTTTCAGATATTATATTTAGGTCTTTGGTCCATTTTGAATTAATTTTTGACCATGGGGACAAACTGTAATCCAGTTTCATTCATTTGCATGTGGCTTTCCAGTTTTTCTAGCACCATTTATTGAAGAGACTACCTTTACTCCATTGTGTGTTTCTGGCTCCTTTGTTGAAAATTATGTCCATATACATGTGGTTTAAAAAAATACATATTTTTTATTGATTTCAGAGAGGAAGGGAGAGGGAGACAGAAACACCAATGATGAGAGAGAATCATTTATCCGCTGCCTGCATGCCCCACACTGGAGATCACACCCACAACCCGGGCATGGGCCCTGACGGGGAATCAAACCGTGACTTCTGGGTTCTTAGGTCGATGCTCAACCATTGAGCCACGCCAGTAGGGTATACACGTGGTTTTATAACTCGGCTCTCTATCCTGTTTCATTGATCTGTGTGTCTTTTTCTCTGCCAATTCCATGCTGTTTTGATTATCGTAGCTGTGTAGTATAATTTGAAGACAGGTAGCGTGATATCTCTAGCTTCGTTCTTTTTTCTCAGGATTGCTTTGGCTATTCTGGGTCCTTTGTTGTTCCATACAAATCTGATGCTTTCTCATTCTATTTCTTTAAAAAATGACATTGGGATTTTGATGGGGATTGCATTAGGTCTGTATATTGCTTTAGGTAATATAGCCATTTAACTATGTTGATTCTTCCAATCCATGAGCATGGAATATTTTTCCATTTTGTTATGTCTTTTTTGATCTCTTTTAATAAAGCTTTGTAATTTTCAGCATATAGGTCTTTCATGTTCTTTGTTAAGTTTATTTCCTGGGTATTTTATTCTTTCGGTTGCAATTGCAAAAGAAATTGTTTTTGGGGGGTTATTTTTTGTGTTTTTTTGTTCTAAATATGTTTATTGATTTCAGAGAGGAAGGGAGAAGGATAGAGAGATAAAAACATCAATGATGAGAGAGAACCATTGATTGGCTGCCCCCTGCATGAGCCTGCAACCCAGGCATGTGCCTTTGACCAGAATCGAACCCAGGACCCTTCAGTCCGCAGGCTAACACTCTATCCACTGAGCCAAACCAGCTAGGGCAGGAATTGTTTTCTTTTTCTGAAATTTTGTTGTTAGTATACAGGAAGGCGATGGATTTTTGCATATTGATTCTGTATCCTGCAACTTGACTGTATTTGTTTATTGTTTCTAATAGTTTTTTTGGTGGAGATTATTTTTTATCATTGTGGTAAAATATACATAAGATATACCATTTTTGAAGTGTACGGTTCAGTGGCGTTAAGCACACGAACCACGACCACCATCCACCTCCAGGACTTTTTCATCTTCCCAAATTGAAACTCTGTTCCCATTAGACACTTAACCCTGCATTCCCCTCCCCCAGCCCCTGGCACCCACTAATCTCCTTTCTGTCTCTATGGAGTTGCTTCTTCTGGACATTTTATGTAAATAGACTCAGGGAATATACAGCCTTTGTGTCTGGCTTCTTTCACTCAATAGAATGTCTTCAAGGTTCACCCACCTTGTAGCAGGGATCAGCCAGGACTTCATTCATTTTTGTGCCTGAATAACATTCTATTTAGCGTGGATGCGCCACGCTTGCTGATCCATTCATCAGCTGTTGGGCACTGGGGTTGCTGCTGCCTTTGGGCTGTTATGAGTGTGCAGCCATGAGCATCCATGCGCAAGTCTGGGCATGCTCCTTTCTCTTGGGGCGGCGCCCTTGCTATTGTTCGGATGCAGATGTACAAAGCGTCAAGGCCTGCTGGTCCTGTACATGAGGCAGTGGAATGTGCTCAGTTCCCTCGTGCCCCGCAGACCTCAGTGCCCGCCCCTGCCCCCACTCCCACGTCTGAGCTGTCTTCAGGCTCGGCCCCAGTTCCCTGACGCTGCCCTTTGCAGGTGGCTGAGATCCAGGTGGAGGTGGAGCTGCGGGACGAGATTCTGCCCAGAGCCCAGAATATCCAGAGCCGCCTGGACCGACAAACCATAGAGACAGAGGAGGTATGAGTGGCCCGGCCTGGCGTGGGGGATAGGGACTTGGAGACACGGAACCAGATGGCCATAACCTCCCTTCCTCTTCCTTCAGAGTTGGATTCTTTTTAAAAAAATATATTTTATAGCCCTAGCTGGTTTGGCTTAGTGGATGGAGCATCGGCCTGTGGACCAAAGTGTCTCGGGTTTGATTCCGGTCAAGGGCACGTACCTTGGTTGCAGGCTTCTTCCCGGCCTGGGTCAGGGCTCGTGCAGGAGGCAACCAATCGATGTTTTCCTCTCACATCGATGTTTCTCTCTGTCTTTCCCTTTCTCTTCCACTCTCTCTAAAAATCAGTGGAAAAATATCCTCGGGTGAGGATTAAAAAATGCATACATATATATTTTTTAAATTGATTTCAGAGAAAAGAAGGAAGAGGGAGAGAGGGTTAGAAACATCAATGATGAGTGAGAATCATTGATTGGCTGCCTCCTGCACACCCCACACTAGGGATCGAGCCCACAACCCAGGCATGTGCCCTGACCAGGAATTGAACCGTGACCTCCTGGTTCATAGGTCGACGCTCAACCACTGAGCCACACTGGCCGGGCCAGAGTTGGATTCTTGTCCGTTGCCTGTCCCCCATTTCTTCCTGCCCTGTCTCCTCCCCAGGTGAACAAGACGCTGAAGGCCACACTGCAGGCCCTGCTGGAAGTGGTGGCATTGGAAGATGGGGACATGCTTGACTCCTTCCAGGCCTGTCCCTCCACTGAGTCCCTCAAGTCCACCAGCTCGGACCCAGGTGCTCGGCAGGCGGGCCGGAGGCGGGGCCAGCAGCAGGAGACCGAGACCTTCTACATCACGGTGGGAAGAGCCGGGCTGGGGGGCAGGGGTGGGGTACAGGGAGGGCCGAGAGCTGGGACTAAAACTGCGGGTTCTTTTGGGGGCTTCCCAGAAACTCCAGGAGTACCTGAGTGGGCGGAGCATCCTTGCCAAGCTGCAGGCCAAGCATGAGAAACTGCAGGAGGCCATTCAGCGAGGTGGGCCCCACTCCCGGCCCCCTTAGTCTCTTTCATGCCTCCACCAGGGCCAGGAGCAGCACCTGCCCTTGGCTCTCCTGCCTTGGAACCCCACCCACCCTTGCTCCTCTCTGCCCAGAGAGGTTGCTTGACGTGAAGGAAATAATCCAGCCAGGTTCCTGGCCTCTATTGCACCCTTGGCCCTGCTACTGCCCTTGGCCTTCAGGCCACACCTTCCTCTCTGCAGTGCCTTGAGGACCTCCTGGCCCGAGAGGACACCAACACTTTCTGTTCCCCAGGGGACAAGGAGGAGCAGGAGGCGCCTTGGTGAGTCCTTCATGAGGGGCTGGTTGGTTTCAGGGAGCTGGGGTTCTGCAGGGGTCAAGCTGTGATGGCCCCACCTCCCTTGTCCTTGGGGCACAGCTCTGCTGCTCATTGCTCTGTGGCCTCGATTTCCCACTTTGCCCAGTGGGTTCTGGGGTGGGGCATCCTATTCTCCATGCCCGAAACCCTCAGAGCAAGCTCCCATTCATCACAGCGCCCAGCACACACAGAGAAAATTCCAGAAGAGCCGCCACCCCCGCCCCAGCTCCCAGTATCATCATAAACTCTTCGGGGGAGACATGGAGAAGTTTATCCAGGTACTTGCTTTGCCTCACGCTCCAACTAAATGCAGGCCCTTGCCCGGCCAGTGTGGCTCAGTGGTTGAGTGTTGACCTATGAACCAGGAGATCACAGTTCGATTCCCAGTCAGGGCACATGCCCGGGTTGTGGGCTCAATCCCTAGTATCGGGCGTGCAGGAGGCAACTGATCAGTGATTCTCCCTCATTATTGATGTTTCTGCCTCTCTCTCCTTTCCTCTTTGAAATCAATAAAAATATGTGTAAAAATAAATAAATGCAGGCCTGCATTCTGGTCTCTCTCTGGCCCTGGGCCACTTTTGTGGCCCGGCTGCCTATGACCCCAGTGTCCTTTGTTGCCACACACTTGTCAGCCCACCTTCCTGGGTGGGTCTTTGCAGGGCCTCCACTGATGGAGGGGAACGTCCTTAGCTAGTAACACGCATCCACAGAAAGCCTCCGGCAGCGGCTATTATTTTTCATGCTGTGATTATGTGTGTAAACATTCCAAATAGAGTCGGCAGACTATTTAAACGAACAAATTCAAGTTTTGCAATGCTACTTGATTAGAGGTCAGCGTACAGAATTGGATTACATTTTCACGCGCCAGCAATAGTTAGCAAGGAAAACGTAAGGCTCTCCCCAAAATGGCACCAGGGACATCAGACACCTGGGAGCCGATCTTGCATGCAGCTTGCCAGGCCCTGTGGCCAGCAACCATAATACATTCTTAAGAGAAGACAAGTTGGCCCTAGCCGATTTGGCTCAGTGGATAGAGCATTGGCCTGCGGACCAAAGGGTCCCAGGTTTGATTCCGGTCAAGGGCACCTACCTTGGTTGCAGGCTCCTCCCTGGCCTGGGCTCTTGGTTGGGGCACATGCAGGAGGCAACCAATCGATGTGTTTCTCTCACATCGATGTTTCTCTCTGTCTTGCCTTCTCTCTCCCACTCTCCCTAAAAATCAATGACCCCCCCCCACACACACACACAGCACAGACTAGTCAAAGATAGATACTAAAGTAATAGGTTATGTAAGTTATGCATTCTAAATTGGGTATTTGTAAATAGCGCCAGGTAGGCCTTCTACCAATAGTACTCCAAGAGTTACGGCAGCAAAGAGATTTAGAAATAACATTTTTTTACACAGTTAATTTACCATGTAAAATTGCTGTAAATGGTAATGTATACAGATTTTCTGTTCCAACATTCCATTGTAAACTTCTTGTTAAGACTGTTAAGTTTTTATTGCTTTCGTATGGAATGCGATTGCAAAACTAAAAAGAACCTTTAACTGGAAAAAAAATCAATGGAAAAATATCCTCGGGTGAGGATTAACAACAACAACAACAACAAAAAATGAGAGAGAGGACAAGGTGGGATGTGCCGTGTCCAGAGAAATGTGAACACCCTCTCTGTCCCCAGAGCTCAGGCCAGCCCGTGCCCCTGGTGGTGGAGAGCTGTGTCCGCTTCATTAACCTCAACGGTAAGCCTGGCACCCGGCACCTGGCACCCATCTGGGGGGTGGGGGTGGCCTCGGTGCCCACCAGCCCTTTGTTCTCCCACAGGCCTGCAGCACGAGGGCATCTTCCGGGTGTCGGGGGCCCAGCTGCGCATCTCAGAGATCCGTGATGCTTTTGAGAGAGGTGGGGACAGGAAGCGTGGGGTGGGGTGGGGTGGGGTGGGAGGCTGGCCAGACCGGCTGTGCTCAGCCTCCTGCACCCTGTGTTGTCCTCAGGGGAGGACCCCCTGGTGGAAGGCTGCTCGGCCTGCGATCTGGACTCGGTGGCGGGCGTCCTGAAGCTCTACTTTCGGAGCCTGGAGCCCCCGCTCTTCCCCCCGGACCTATTCCGGGAGCTTCTGGCTTCTGCGGGTGAGGCCAGGGCCCGAGGCCGGCAGGGTGGGCAGGGCCGGTCCCCAGTGGCCCGTGGCCGCACTCACGGGCTTCTCTCCTCTCGGGGTGGTGGCCTCGATCACAGAGCTGGAGGCCATGGAGGAGCGGGTGGAGCTGGTGAGCCGCCTTCTGACACAGCTGCCGGGCCCAGTGCTGGTGGTGCTGCGCTACCTCTTCACCTTCCTCAGCCAGTGAGTGCTTCTCGGGGGGCCAGGGGGGCTGCCCAGGGGGAGCAGGGGACACGGGGCAGGGAGTTCCCTGCTTGTGACCCGCGTGTGCCCCCAGCCTGGCCCAGTATAGCGATGAGAACATGATGGACCCTTACAACCTGGCCGTGTGCTTTGGGCCGACGCTGCTGCCCGTGCCCCCTGGGCAGGACCCCGTGGCCTTGCAGGGCCAGGTGAACCAGCTGGTGCAGACGCTCATTGTGCAGCCCGCACGGGTTTTCCCACCCCTCACCCTGCTGCCGGGCCCTGTCTATGAGAAGTGCATGGCACCGCCTTCCGCCAGCTGCCTGGGGTACGCTCTTTGTGTTGCTGGGGGATGGGGTTCGGGGGGCGGTCCAGCGGAACCCCCTAAATGCTCATCGTCCTTGCTCGACTCTGGGCCTCAGGGACACCCAGGTGGAGGGACTGGCAGGCGAGAACGAGCCGGAGCTGGAAGCTGGGACCCCAGCCCAGGAGGATGGTGAGGGTATCTGGAAGGAGGACCCCACCCTGGCCCTGCCCTGGGTGCCACTCCACCCCCCCTCTCAGACCCCTTCTTCTCCCCAGTCCTGGAGGGCGTCGTGGAGGCGGTGGCCTGCTTTTCCTACACGGGCCGCACGGCCAAGGAGCTGACCTTCCAGCGTGGGGACGTGCTGCGGCTGCACGAGCGGGCCTCGGACGACTGGTGGCGGGGCGAGCATGCTGGCACCTGCGGGCTCATTCCGCACAAGTACATCACGCTGCCTGAGGGGTGAGTGAGTGCCCCATGCTGTCCGGAGACTCTGCACAGCTGCCCTTCCCCCAGGTACTGGCCCTTTCCTACCCCAAGTCTCAGAGTCTGGAGGCTTTTTTATTTTTTAAAAAATATATTTTATTGGTTTTTTACAGAGAGGAAGGGTGAGGGATAGAGAGTTAGAAACATCGATGGGAGAGAAACATCGATCAGCTGCCTCCTGCACACCCCCTACTGGGGATGTGCCCGCAACCAAGGTACATGCCCTTGACCGGAATCGAACCTGGGACCTTTCAGTCCGCAGGCCGACGCTCTATCCACCGAGCGAAACTGGTTAGGGCTGGAGGCTTTTAAAAAAATATATATTTTTAAAAATTGATTTCAGAGAGGAAGGAAGAGGGAGAGAGAGAAACATCAATAATGAGAGAGAATTATTGATAGGCTGCCTCCTGCATGCCCCACACTGGGGATCGAGCCCACAACCTGGGCATGTGCCCTGACTGGAAATCGAACCATGACCTCCTGGTTCATAGGTCAGTGCTCAACCACTGAGCCATGCCGGCTGGGCAGCCTGTAGGCTTTCTGTGTGCCCTTCTGAGCACTTCTTGCTGCCACTGAGGGCACAAAACCTCCTGGCCCCCAGCACTCTAAACAGGCCATCTTTCTGACCCCAGAGCAGAGAAGCAGGCTGTGGGCCCGGAGCTGCAGGCTGGGGAGCTGCTGAGCAGTGCGGAGGGCCTCCCGGCTGTGGAGATCACCCAGCGGTGAGCAAGGGGAGTTTGGCCCCTCGGGAAGACCCTTCTGCTGGCCTCACTGCCCGCCCCCACCTGAGCACTGCTCTGGGGGCCAGGCCTGTCCCAGGCAGCAGGCAGTGGGCCAGCTGGAGGGGGATGGGGTCAGGTTTTGGGCACCTGGAGAGAAGCCCAGTTGGGGGAGAGTTGTCTGGGTGAGGGATGCCACAGGAGGACAGAATGGACCCGCTGGGCCAGCCTCACTGTCTTTCTCTTGGCCACACCCTGGGATGGGAGGAGTCACTGGCAGGTTGTGCAGACTTCCCAGGGCCCCACCTGGCTCACTGTCTGTGCCCTGCAGGCCAGAACTATGTACCCCACCCGGGGGCTCTTTTGGGCACAGACGGCACTGCTTGGTCCCATCCTCCCCAGATCGACATGTGGAGATGGATAAGGTGAGTGGGGGACGGCTGAGCGGCAGGTGGGGGATATCTCTCCGGGGGGGGGGTGCCTTGCCTCCCCTTATGAAGCAAATTCTTCCCTCCTGAGGGTTGAGTCTGTCCTTCCTGACCTCAGACAGGCTGGCTGAGCCCATCCCAGAGAGGGGCAGGCCAGCGAGGGGAAAGATGGGCCCAGCGGCAAGGACAGGGGACACGGAGGCTCATGCATTTGGGCTTCATGGTTCTTTTTAAAACATATATTTTTATTGATTTCAGAGAGGAAGGGAGAGGGAGAGAGAGAAACATTAATGATGAGAGAGAACCATCGATCGGCTCCCTCCTGCACGCCCCCCACTGGGGATCGAGCCTGCAACCCAGGCATGTGCTATGACTGGGAATCGAACTGTGACCTCCTGGTTCATAGGCCGATGCTCAACCACTGAGCCACGCCGGCCGGGCCACCCTCTCCACATTTCTCATATGGTTGGTTCTTCAGTGGGAAGTGGCGAGTGGTTTGGGCGAGGGGCTACCGGGCAGGCTTCAAGGCTGGAATCTAGAGCCAGGCTGGGTGGCAGGTGGTGACATGGCAGGAGCTTGGTGGGCCAGGGAGGATGAAAGGGACAGATGGCAAAGAGGTCGGAGGGGGTGGCTAGCTGTGGAGCTGAGCAGGACAGTGGTTCTCTCAGGGGGCAAGAGGAGGTGCTGGGCATGGCTCCGGCAAGGGGTGCAGCCTGGAGAGCCCCGGCTTCCTGCTCTGTCCAAAGGACCCAGCGCACCCACCCGATGGGTGCTCACTGCTCCCAGCTGAGACAGGCCCTGAGATCAGACTGGACTTGAGGAGAGAGCTTGAGAGTAGACTGTGTCGGGTGTGGCCCAGTGGCCAGGCTGAGAGCGGGGGGACAGGGGGCTCAGTTGAACCACCAGGTGGTGGGGGCGGGGCCAGGCAGCTGAAAGATTTCAGGAAGGCCGTCAGTAGATGGGGCCCGGTGGGGTGCAGATGGATGCTGATCTGGGAGCTCCTGCATGCTGGCGGCCCCCAAGGACATGTGGGAGATCTCAGGCAGGGAGAGAGTGGGCGTGAGAGGAGAAGGGGGCAGTCAGGGCCCAGCCAGAGGCTCCCACACTTGAGGCTGGGTTGAAGATTGCTGTCCCCAAAGGAGGTGGTGACAGCCACACCAAAAGTGGCAGGAGGAAAACTGGGCAAGGGAGGAGGGACAGGTTGGTGGCAGATGACTTTGGTTTTGGAGTGGGGGGTTCCGGTGGAGGCTTGGGCAGCAGGGGGTAGGAGGGCCTCACTCCTGTGGTCACTGTGTTGTCAACACACTGACCCGGGGGTGGAGGGAGTGGCAGGGCAGTGAGGGACACTCCTACCAGATGCCCTCCCTCTCACCTCTCTGCCAGGCTGTGGCGCAGACCATGGACTCCGTGTTTAAGGAGCTCTTGGGAAAGACTACCGTCCGCCAGGGCCTGGGGCCAGCATCCACCAACTCTCCCAGCCCCGGGCCCCGCAGCCCGAAGCTTCTAGGCTATGGCCGCCTGGGCAAGAACAAAGGCTTCTCCCGCAGCCCTGGGGCGCCGGCCTCACCCTCATCCTCATCGTCCCAACCCCCGGGTCTGGACTCACCCCTCAAGCCACACTGAGGTGCTGCTGGCTCCTCAGCAGAACCCCCCCTCACCCTAAGGGTTGCCAGCAAGACCCTCCTCCCTCCCCAGGCCTTTGCTTCTCCCTGGCCCTGTCCAGCAAGCACGGAGCACCTGCTCTTGACCCTTTGCGGAAAGAAGGACACGGCTGCCCAACCGAGCCCCTGCCTGCCCCAGCCCTGGCTTAGGCCCCTTTGGGAGGCAGCCAACGGAGGCTGGGGGCAGTCCCTCCCCAGCTTGCCTGTGAGGGCTCATCAGTGGCTGTTGGGTGGTGGGTGCCCTTGCTCAGATGAGCAGGCCTGCCAGTGCCCAGGCCCTTGTCTGCTTCAACCGAGGGCACGAGACTGGCGGGGGTTGGCAGGCCTGGCAGCCATTCATAAAGACTTGAGCATTGACTTCCCTACGTGAGCCAGGTCTCTTGTTTTGGGGGACTGGGCACGTGGATATAGGGCCAACCCCCTGTCACCCTCACTGCTTGAGGCCAGATGCCAGGGCGCTCAGCAAAGGCGGCAGGGTGGGCGGCTGGACCAGCTTCTGTTGGGGGGTGGGGAGCTCGGCACAGGGCTGTGTGGGCTGGGGGCTTGGACACTTGAAGGCTGTCACCTGCATCGTGAGCTCCACAGTCAGACATGTGGGGGGGGGGCAGGGGGGTCTGAGGATTTCTTTCCATGCCACCTTCACACTCCAAGGAGACTCACTGGGTGGGAAATGAGCTGACACTTTTATTAGGGAGAGAGTGAGAGAGGAACTAGGGAGGTGAAGAAAGGAAGGTCTCCTGGCCTCACCCCCTTTCCCTCCTCCTGGGCTCCATGGATCCCCATCTCCCACGCTGTTGCCCTCTCTGTACCCCGCGCCAAGGAGCTGACCTGGGCCCCTCACAATCCAGAGCCAATTCCCAGCGTGCCCTCCTCTCCCAGTGAACCTGGGGGGCCTCTGGAAGGAAGGCGCCCCCTGGCTTCTCAGGAGGAAGTGTCCTTGGCCAGGAAGGAGCTGGCAGTGGTACAGGACTCCTCTTGGGGCCCCAGGCTGGGCGGGGCGCGCCTCCGAGCGCAGCAGAGCAGGCTGCGCAGCTCTGAGGAGACGCTGCTGCTGAAGGAGGCATAGATCCAGGGGTTGGTACAGCTGTTGAGGCTGCCCAGCAGCATTAGCAGCACGAAGGGAGTCCCTGTGTGGGGGGAGGAGAAGGATTGGGGGCTGCAGGTACCCAGGCAGGGGTGCGACCCCATGAGCCTACTAGGGGCTAGTGAGCCCAAGGCTGGATGTTGGGGGGGGGCAGGTAGAGGTGCATATGCAGCCAAGCCCCAGCGCTTCCCGTAGCCCTACCACAGCCACACCCACCTTCCTTCGGTGCCTTCGGGTCCCACGCCGCCCACAGTTGCACAAGGAAGAAGGGCGCCCAGCACAGCACGTAGACGATGACAATTACCAGCGTCATCCTCACGGTCTTGGCCATGGCTGCCGACACAGGGGCTCCCTCGCCAGAACTGGCTGTCCGACGTCCCCTGGCCCTCTCTGCTGGCCCTGGCACCAGGCTGGCATGAATCTCCCGGAAGATGAGCACCTGACAGGCAGCGATGCCCAGAGCAGGTGCCACAAACACCATTAAGGCAATCCAGGTGACGTAGGCACGGAGGCCCCAGGGCTCGATAAAGAGGCCCCAGCAGTCGAAGACCCCGCTGTGGTCTTCCACTTCACGCTGGGCGAAGATGAAGAGCTGGGGCAGGCTGAAAAGTAGTGAGAAGGCCCAGGCCAGCAGCACCGGCTGGTTCCAGTGAGCGCCCCCTCCATGGCGGTATGCCACCATGGGGTGGCAAATGGCACGGTGGCGGTCCAAAGTCATGGCCAGGATCATGTAGGAGGAGGCATACATGCCCACCATCTGCAGGTACTTGACGGCCCGGCACAGGGCATCAGGCCCCTGGAAGCGGTCGGTGGCATCCCAGGCCAGCTGGGGCAGCACTTGGAACAGAGCCACGACCAGGTCAGCCAGGCACAAGTGGCCGATGAAGATGTGCATAGGTGCCCAGCGGCCACGCCGGCCATGCCGCGCCAGGGCCCCCAGCACCAGGCTATTGCTCAGGGTCACGGCCACAAAGACTATGGAGAGCAGGGCCAGCTCCGCCTGGGCTAGCAGCTGGTTCCGGGTGTCCGCACGCTCCTCCTCGCTGCTGTTGCCAGGTGGGAGAGGCTGAGAGAGGGGTCGAGGCACAGCTGGGCAAGGACAGTGGTGGGGGAGCGGGGAGAGGGCTAAGTTAGGGGAGTGTGCTCTGCAGTGGGGTCAGAGAACCAAAGGAGGTTCCCCTGGACAAGTAGAGCCAGTGCCTGGGTCTTCTGATGCCCCACCCGCAGGGCCCTCATCCCTCACCTCACATGCTAGGGAGGGAGGGGCAGCCCCAGCCCCCAGGGGCCTCCTGGAGAGAAGGGTGAAAGAGGTCCCTGAAACAGGGGCTTCTAGGCTTCCTCCAACCCCACTGCAGCCAAGCCCACAGTTGGGGGAGGGGAGGGGCCCAGGGGCTGGAACCTTACCAGAGACGGTGGGAGCAGTGAGCATGGTGGGGTGTCCTGAACGCCTGGAGGAGACAGGGTGGCGAGCTCAACATCCCCCCCCCCCCCCGAAAGGGCCGGCCCCGCTGCCCAGACTCTTTGGACAGAGGTCCTTAGGGTGGCATAGTGTCTGTGTGTGGGGCTGGGGTAGGGTGGGGGTACTCGCCTGTGCGTGCAACTGTGTGTATGCACGTGTGTGTTTTCCAGCGATTGGGCGGTGGTGTGTGTGTGTGTGCGTGTGAGTGTGTGTGTGTTTTCTAGCGATCAGGAGCTGGGGGGACACCCTTAGCTGGGTCAAGGTTGGTGAGGTCTGGCCCCACCGAGCCAGGCATGGACCTTGGGGCCCTGCTATGCTCCTCCTAGGACTGGGCAGGGGAAGATAGAGAGGGGGACAATGAAACAGATGGACAAACGGAGCCTAGGACCACCTAGGCAGTCCACAGACCCGAGGCAAACATATAGAACCCCCTGTCCTAACAGAGGCTCAGAGAGGCGCAGCGGGAGAGCTGGGGACTGGGTGGGAAGGGCCGGCGTGCCCCCGGGGCCCTTGCAGACCCTTACCTGGCTGGGCTCCCGGGGTCCTGGGAGGGTTCCTGGGAAGCTGGGCAGCAGCGGGCTCAAAGGTGTCCCAGGAGCTCAGATCTGCTCTCCATCGCCCGCCCCGCCCCAGCCCAGCGTCTGGGAGTGACCTGCCCAGGGGGGGACTTCCTCCCCTCCTCCCCCTCCGCCTTCCCTGGCCTCCTGCCTGTGGCACCGGGAAGGACTGCTTCCCTTCCCGCCCCCAGCCCCTCCCAGGTCTGTCCCCAGGATTCCATTCCTGAGGGCCCTGAGACTGGTCCCCAGCGTGGCCCAGCTGTGACCGCCGGGCGGCTACCCGCCCCCCTCTCTGCCCCTGCTGCCCCACCCCCCACCCTGGGGCCCAGCTTACTAGAATGCTGGGTCTGGCAGGGCTCTGGGAGGTCACTTAGTTCAGCGTCTCCATCCTAGACATGGGGAAACTGAGACCAGTGCTCAGGATTATACAGCTTTTCTGGGGTAAGCTTGACGCCTCTTTCCCAAGCCAGGCTCCTTCTGTCTGTCTTTGGGTCCGTGTGAGGAAAGGGTGAGAGCTCAAGGAATCCCCAGTAACACAGAGGGCCCGCCCCTCCCAGGCCCACGAAGCCCCTCCCCCTCCTCAATTAGGGCCAGCCGGAGATGAAGGACAGGAAGGGAGGAGGTGGGGTGGGATCAAGGTCTTAACGTGCCCTGTGAGATCCAGTTTCCTCCCCAAGGCCCAATGGGAGCCAGGGACACCCTTGCCCTGCTCCTCCCCCACCTGAAACTACCTGTCCCTGAAGGAGGGGGCTTCTGAGCTCCTGCACTCATGCATATTCCAGCTCTCCCCCCCCCACCCCCGCCCCTCACACACACACCCTCACTTATATGAAACAGCCATATGCCCACAAAGGCATACACACTTGACATCACAGACAGACACACATTTGGGTTCCTGTGCCCTATGTGGAGGGCCCGAGAGGGCCGCCCCTGCCAGGGCCTTCAGGACTGGGACTCCCCTGCCTCCTCTCCCCTCCTCAGGCTCTAGGACTCCCTCAACCTCTAACCCAGCGTTTTCCCCCATCCCAGGCACCCCCATCCCACCCCTCCCCTGCCCTCGCTCAGCCCAGGCTGGCCCAGCCCAGCCCAAGGCAGTAGCCTGCACACAGCCTAGGGCCAGGCTCTGGCCTGAGTTCGACTCTTTTTTCCTGTTTGTCCGTCTTCTCTGTTGACCTGCAGAGACCAAAACAGCCCCTCACCGACCAGGCCCAAGTATAACCAAGGCCAAGGCCTCCTCTTCCTACCCAGAGAGACTGGCTGTACCCCAGCCCCTCCCAGCCTCTGACTGGGCAGCAGAGGAGGTGGGGGCAGGTGTCTTATACATGTACCACACCCCCTACACACCGCACACATAGCATACAACACACACACACAGCCCTCAGTGCACACACATGCATACCGCACACACGCATCCTACCTCCTGACATTACATATGTACCAGCCTGCAGTGGCCTCGGTGGCCTTGGTCCCCAAGACTCTCCCAGCCTTGCAGGCTAGGTGGGACCTCCCTGTCCACCCCGGGAACTGAGGCGCCTGCAGAGGATCATATGTCCCTGTTTTGCCATTCCCAGCTGTGTGACCTTGCACAGGCTGTGCCCAGCTCTCTGCGCCTCCGCTTTCTGCTCTGTACACTGAGAATCTAATGATCGAAGGTGGACACGTGGTGGCCCAGCTGGTGTGGCTCAGTGGTTGGGCATCGACCTATGAACCAGGAGGTAACGATTCCACTCCCGCTCAGGGCACATGTCCGGGTTGCAGCTCAGTCCCCAGTGTGGGACGTACAAGAGGCAGCTGTTCAGTGATTCTCTCTCATCATTGATGTTTCTCTCTCTCTCTCCCTCTCCCTTAAAAAAAAACAAAAAAGAGGTGGATACGCAGTGATAGGATGGGCAATGGCCTGAGCCGCAGGTGATGTGCCTCCAGAAGCACCCACTTTCACTGCAATAGGGCAGTGCTAGAGGCTGGCAAGAGACGCTCCCGGGACTGGTCAGGAAGGGGTGCCAGCCTTCCCGGGCAATCACTTCCTTATGAGTTTCTCCGCTTGGATTCTTGGATTCGCAGGGCTGGATCCCAGTGGAGAGCTGACGCAGGGCGGGGCCCTGAGCCATGAGGCCGGGCCCGTGACCATCTCTGTTCTGCACACTCCTTGTTTCCTGTTGTTGAGCCCAGGGAAAAGTGTTGGGGAAGGCCCCCCTTCCTGTCGCTTTCTCTGGGCTCCAAGAAGCAAGGGGAGGGGTTTGTGTCCACGCCGAGGCCAGGACATAAAGGGAAGCTGCTCATGGAACTCCCCTTGGTCAGCCAGCACAGTCCTGGCGACCTCCGAGGATCTGAGAGCCACCAAGGCAGGAGGGTGTGTCCAAGAGAGTCTGGCTCTTCAGCTGAGAGCCCTGAAGGCTCAGGAGTCC